AAATTTAAATCACTTTGAGTTCACATTCAACTCAATGTGTGAATGAAGAGGCCAACCAACCAATACTTATACCCCAAGTCAAACCGAGTACGAAAGCGTGGAAGTCACAAAGTTTAAACCACTTAGAATAGGAGTGGAGCGGCACCCGTTTAGACAAATTGTGTCACTTATCTTTTACCATGATTGGAGTTTGAAGCGAAAGAGACTAACTTTGAGAGATGAGAATGATCACTCTCTAATTGTTGTTTTGCTCTGATACAAGGATTTTTACTACGAGTATTTGGAATTTGGAAATGCAGAGATAGTAAAAGTAATAATGTTCAGTTCATACCATAGTGTCCAGTTCAGAGTTTGCATCAAGTTCTTTCACCAATCGAAACTTTGAAAGCTTTACAACAGTAGTAACTACTAGTAAACTTGTACGTTAAGGTGGACAATGTTGTTAATGGCTGCAACTAGGGACTATAGCTATGACGGCACTGCTAACTACAACGCAAAAGAAAGGTTACAGCTATGGCTATGGAGACTAAAAGCAAAATGCTAAAAATGTTGAAGACAAACAAGATAGCTTATACACAAAGAGGCCTCCTTACCCACGAATCTGCAATCGGCAAATTCTCATCTCGTAACCGTAGAATTTTTCTTCACAATCTGGACTGTCTGTCAGCGAAAAATATACGACGACGACTATTCAAAATCAAAATGACTAATGGTAGCGACGACGATAAATAAAATTTGGCATGTACTCTATCTATGAAAGTCACACCTGCTCTGCTCTAGAAATACTGAAATAGATTTATAAACCACAATACACTGGCCTCAATCCTGGCATCTCGATGAATCAAAGTCCACCACGCTCTAGTCCAGAATACCTACAATGACACGGTCCAACATCCCCACAAACATAGAGTTTCCATATACCTTTCCTGTGAGATACAATCAATCAATCAATCTGATTATGTTTTGGGTAAAATATCAAAAGCCAACCCCAACAAGAGTTTGAGGATTCTTACCACATCAACAGGAAACTTAACCAATTGGCAGAACATAGGAGTCATTCTGTCACAAACTAAAAAATATGATAACTTCAATATAAAAGCATCCATTAATAACCTGTAATGTGCTTAACCAACCCCCAACTGAAGGCATGGACACGAAGTTCAAAAAACCAATGGTCAATTAGAGAGGTCATCCATCAAGGCGTTCAAATGTGAGGCACTTCAAAACTGGTGTGTTGCACACTTGTGATTGTAGAGAAGACCTTGAAGAATGTACGAAAAAGCAGAGTCTGCTATGCCCAACTGTTATAGATGTTTGGATTAAGTCTTTAAACAGGCCCTAAGTATACTCTAATGCACTCTTTTCTGGCTTTCGAAAATTCCTTTACTTAAAAAGAATAGAGCATTTCAGATATCCGCCCATCCTGATCTATTTGAAAATAGATCGAATTCATTTATCCATATATCGTGTTTCTGCAGGCATAAGAGCTCTTTCATTTATGTTCGGCGGATGCCACTCCCGTGTTTGTGTCTAATCAATAGCCTAAAGCCAGTGGTTCTCCAATTTAAGCAGTGTTGTAGAGAAGAGGACCATGAAATGAATAAGAAATGCCAACACTACAATCAACTATTTAAGCAATGTTGTACAGAAGAGGACCAGGAAATTAAAATTCAATGATATTCAGGAGCCTGAATAAGTGACATCAAATGGTTTGGTGTTAAGCACTAAGAGAAGGCTATACTTGCAGAGTAAAACGTGGAACTGAAAACAGTTTCATATTAATAGATGATCCAATGAACAGAGCAACTGGAGTTCAACCAAAAGATACTGCTGAGAAGACCTAATTCTGTTTTTATTTTAATGAAGATCTTTTGACTAGACTGATCACCAGCATAGAAGCTTTTTGTGTTTGACAAGAACTCTGAGCCATAGAAGATCTACACAGAATTTCATTAAAATATATATAGCCCAGCAGAAGTTTACTTGCACCATCCTTTGTCTGAACGTTGCTACTATTACTTTCTACTCGCCAGTTCAGAAGTTCAATCAAGGACAATTGCAAATGCAAAACTTGATTAAAAGGTCAAAAATGCCCCAGAATCGAAGGCTTTTATGTTCTCTTTAAGACCTCAAAATCCACACAAACAATTCTTGTCTACACAGGAAATTAATCTTCCCAGGATAGAAACAATCCAATAAAAAGAACAAATTCATGTCATCAATTCTAAGAAAAGGAAAGTGAATCCAAAAAGTACAAAGATGAGATAACACTTTAAACATCTTTAGAGTAACTCCAAGGTGAAAGCTCTATGAAACCAAGCTTATAATTTCAGCAATACTTTTCCCGACAAATACGTGTATTTCTTTCCTACCAGATACACCAAAAAATAGCCAGAGACACTTGCTCCACATTTCCCTCTATAACTTGTTTCCAACACCAACAATCAAACTTGATAGCAACTTAAAAGCAATCAAAGTACCTAATCCCAAAAGGTGCTAACAGAAAAATCCAAACATAGCATGCAATGTTTGAAAAGGTGATCCATCTACCTGGAATGCACAAATTCCCACCCATCAAGTGATCAATTGCAGGAAATTTATCATACAGTACAGCCTAAAAAAAGAGAAATCTCCTTTGTGAATACCTCTGGACCTCTACGTTGATAGAAATGTCCCATCGATCATCATTTATCAATTTCTCATACAAAAGTTTAACAGAAGAAAAAAGCACTGATATCATGCTTTTCAACTCCCATTTTTTGAAATTCAAAGAGAAACAATATTCTGACTCACCACTTATTCCCTCCAAAGCGCATAATCCTCCCCCAAGCATATTTATTTTCCAGAGCCAAGAAGTAAGAGGAAATTCCTCAATGAAGGTGTACTCTCCACGTCATACATCCTTCTGAAGCTTTACCCTCTCCATCAACCAGCAACCCGATTTTAAACTTCACAAACTTACCAACAAATCCCTACATACATAATTACTTTCCAAAGCCCGGCCCCATAGTTCCAGCAATTCCCTAAGCACTGACCACAGAACTCTCAAATGGAATTCAAAAACCAGTTCAACCTCAGATTGTTCTCTCGGTAAGAGAAAAGGAGTGAAACGCACGTATTTCCAAACCAGCCACTTTACCAACACAAATCTGGTAAAAACAAATTAGAAAGCTCAATAAAGTTCTATCTGACTACTTGAGGCTCGTATATTCAATGGATGATCAAAACTTATCTCTACAAATGGATGGTCAAAACTAATCTCTACAAACGGATGATCAATTGTTTTTTGAGTATCTTGATTGGAGAGAGTAAAAAGTTTTTGGTCTGACAAGAGAATACGGGGAAACAATTGGATGGTGATAAGTAGGGAAACAATCGGACTTTGATAGATATTCAAGGATAGGGAAAAAAATTTCCTATCTATTATTTCAAAGGTCCGATTTACACCAGAATTCCAAGTAAGTTATTAAAGACAATATAAGATTCCTCTACACCCTTCTCAATACATGTAAGCTAGTTACCTCGCATACAATTTACCCTTTTAAGATGATATATAAAGCACTTACAATATCATTAGTAAATCCAAATACTCTTTACACTAGGAGACAAAATCAAGTATCTCCTAACAGGATTCTTCACGCCTAAGAAGGAATAACCACACAATACTCTGAACTTGTTATGAGCTGAATGACTTACGTACTTGATCTTGTGCATAACTGGACGTTCAGGCTTCTCAATCGTCTTACAAGGAAGTTCAAAATGTAAGCTACAAGATTACGTACAACAATACACCATGATAAAAGAATTACAGCTGAATTAAATTCAGTGTTTATTGGAAACAAAATGACATTTGTAGGTGTCAAATATACTTTGGTCCACATGGCAATGCCACACCATCAATAATGGCCCACATAACAAAAGTCAAACGATCAACGGGTAAATTACGTGATACATACCACGTCATCAATAAATCTCAAACAGAAGACTGATGACTTGAGTTGGGAGCAGGGCTCAGGAATATCTGGGATTCGAGAAGGTACTTGGTTTGGTGGATGAAGTCAAGGATTTGTCGAGTCGACCCTCGACCTGACTTGTAGAGAGAGAAATAGCATTTTGACTCCCTTACAACTTATCCCCATCTTAGTTAATATTGTTTTATAATTATTTGAGAAATTTATCTCTTTTTATTATTATTTTAATAAACCCAAATGTGTCGTCGTATGATGACATCACCCACTCTCTCACTTGGCCTATAAAAGGAGATGATCCAAGGTCAAGGAAGAAAGGGGGGACAACACAAAAGGAGGAGGAAATAACCTCCTAGAAATGGAGAGCTCTTATGCTCTCTCATACCCATGCTTTCTCCACACCCTCTAAACTTTCTTTTTTTTTTGATAAGTAATACACCCTCTAAACTTTCACCAAAGGATTCAACGGTGTACTAGCACACTGCCATCTTCTTTCTCTCCCCCAAGTTTTCCTGGGCTTCCACCTCTCTTAGTCCACTTCGGATTCTACTATGTTGCGAGAAATGCCTCTTTTTATATTTTATATTGTGTTTATTTCAAGAACCCACTACTTTTTTATTTTTGCATTAAGTGTAGAAAACTAGAAATATATAGAGACTTTTTATGTTGAGATAGAAGAAACAAAGGTGAAAAGAAAGATAGCTACTTGACAACTAGTGACTCTCATTTGCAAGCAAATCCCCATCTCCAACTTAAAAACAGAAGCAAATAGAACTCTCTTAAAAGATGTGCAACTTGACCTAAATTGCATCTTGTCTATGGTAAAAGATGATATATTAACAGTAGGCAATAAATATTGCATTCTGAAAATACATTCCAAACACATCGTCATCTTTAACAGCATGACATATAATTGATAAAAAAAATGCAATGCAAATGACATATAATTGCATACTGAACATCCATCCTATTTCACTGGGGAGGGGGAAAAAAAGAAGAAAAGAAAGATCCCCAACAATCTATGCCAAAATGTGGATAGGCAAACTCATAAAGAGATGTCATATATCGATTATATAATGATTAATTGTATAACCAAAGCTGACATTCCTAACAATGGTCTATGGTTCACTCAAAAGTACAGAAACCAAAGAGACTGATGATAATCAAATGCAACTAATACCACAAAACATAGTTGATTTCCAACATATCCAAATACGAATTTTCAGACCCATCAAATAGAACATAAAAAACAGCATTGAGTACCAAAAGTGTGCACATTATTCAATTCAAAAGAACCCACATTCATTTCAAGATCCTTACAGTAATCACTCAGGAGATTCTTAGCAAGTGTCCCACTGCTTCGGCTCGGGCACCGCGACGACCATCCCCTGGAGATCCTGCGTGAGCAGCACCTGGCATCCCAACCTCGAATGCTTGTTTAAAACCCTAGCTCTCGAAGTCCTCTTCAGGATGTACTGCTCATCGTACGACGCCGGGGGCATCCTCTCGAGCCACTCTTCGGCGATGTTCACCTCGCACTCCGCCGAGCAAGCGTCGATATCGTCCAGCCTGTGCGACTCCGGATCGATGAGGCCGTTGTTCGCTAGGGCTCTGAGCAGGGTCTGACCAGTGAGTCCGACAATCTCGCGCTTCACGCCATCGGGATCGATGGCGAAGAGCTTCACAATTCGATCAGCGACTTTCCTGGATGATGATGATGAAGATGGTGACGATGCCGATGAAGCGGAGGATCTTGTGATGATTGCTTTGGAGGAGAGAGAAAGTGAAGGGTTTCGGCAGATTCGGGATGTGAGTCTCTGTAAACCAGCTATCGCCATTGTTGGGGATTTTCTGGGGTTCGAGAGAACGACGATTGTATTAGACTACGGCACACCGATATAGACTAGTTTTGGTCCGGTGAATGTTGGTCCGGTGTGGTGAGGTTACCAATAAAATGATGCCATGTCATCGTTACGGTCAGTTTGGCATGAATTTTGTTTTTGGCATTTTGTTTTTGATATGCTTTGGAAAAAAATCAGGAAGGACTTTTGGTAACGATATTTTACTGTAGAAATATTGGTCCCGGTTTGTAACTTTAAAAATAGTTCTCAAGAATTCAGAGAACTATAAACAGTTTTCAAATAACAATAAACAGTTCTCTGAAAATAAGTTTTTTTATAACTGAGTTTTTAGAAAAATAAATCAAGTAGAGTTTTTTGTACAATTTTCCATTTTCTGTTTTCTGAAAACAGAAAATTGTTTTCACAGTTACAAACCAAGCAAGGGTTTAGTTTTGAGCTATTGTTCACGAAATGTTTTAACACTGTATAAAATAAAACATGGCAGCACTAAATATGTTCTTGTTGCCAAAATCGACATTGTAGCCAGCCTAAAAATAAAAACAGCAGAAATAAAACACATGCCAAACAAGGCCTTAACAAGTGTGTTAGGATTTGGGATGCATTCTTACTGGATCGGGTTAAGGCTTCGTCCAGCCCAAAGTGACAAACACATGGATGGATATCCAACGAAGAAGTGATTTGTGTTTGACTTAATTGTGTTTAGTTGAGTTCACATGCTAATTAAATGTATTGCGGTACATTTGTTTAACTAAATCTGTCCAGTAAATGTATCATGTTGATGCCAAGGGCAACAAAGTGGTATCACCTCTATTTTTTAAATTGGATGGTGATGGTTGAGTCTCCAAATGAATGAGTAAAGTGGATGCGTAAGTTTCTTTTCAATGACAAAAATGTATTTTGTTGATGTTAGAAATAACTCGTGTAACTAAACTTGTCGAATAAATACGCTTGTCGAATAAATACGTCGTGTTCGTATTAGAGATGATGATAATAGTTTAATTTTTTAATTAAACATCTCTTATCATATTGTATTACCTATATTATATATGTGTCGAGAAAAACTTGACACGAGAACAAGTCGTTGATAGAGAATGGTTGATAGAGAATGACGATATATGTTTGATAAACAACATATAATTAAATGAATTCCCGTAAAAACAAAACAACAATATATAATTACTAAGGCGACAAATGAGCCGAGCGAAACTCCAATTTGTTCGAACTTAGCTCGTTCATTTGTGGTTTTAGTTCATAGACTAGTCATTATTTTAAAAAACTTTTCACTTTTCATAACAAAAGTTGTTTAAGTTTGATTTGAGTTCGTTGAAGAGCGTTTTGACTCGTTCATGAACCTATATAAACCTAAATAAGTTTATATTCACAATTACATGTTCGTGAATTTAGATTTATGAACTTAAACAATATTAGCTCCTGTTTATGAACAAATGCAGTGACGGAGCTAGGATTTCAAGTGTGTGTGGGGGGGGGGGGGGGGGACACATATATATATAACAACTATAAAATTCAAAAAGACAAAGAAGAAGAAAATTATTAAAATATAAAAGGAAAGAAAAATGAAAGAACTTTAACAGGAAATAGTTAAAAAGTTTCAAAGAAAAATTTGACTTTTTCTACTAAGGAAATTTAAGGAATGTGAAGAGTAAAAGAAAAAATAAAGAAAAAAATAAGAATATAATTTTAGGAATTACAAATTTGAGGGGGCACTATATAAATTTTTTCATACATATGAATTTTTTTAAAAAAATTACCACATATATTATAGGTTGCTGACCAACTCAGGGGGGCACGTGCCCCCCCCTAGGCCTTCATTGGCTCCGTCAGTTTAAACAAATTTAACGTTCATAAGTAAAGCCTAACAAAATTCAACTCATGTATCAAACAAACTCAAACTCAAACTCGATTCATTTACTTAATGAACCAAACTTTAAATGAGTTGATATTGAACTCTTCATGAATAATTTGGTTCAAAGAGACTTGATTTATCGATAAATGCTTCATTAAGTAGAATTATGGCATTGATGGTTCTAAACCTTAATATCACTTTACAAAATTAACGTTAAATTTTAGTTTAAATAAATGCAGTAGCTCAAAATATTCAAGAATACAAATCTGAAACTAAAGATCTTGAGTGTAGCTTCCGGTTTTCACACTCCAATTTTAAGAAATAAAAAGAAAACTCCAACTTTAAGGATTAAGTAATTCAAATCCATTGTTAGAAACCAAAGGTGAGCACACCTGTTTTTCTCTGCACGAGGACATTCTCTTCTTTTCCAAATCTATTGCAGAGTATATAATTTTCCTCCAAACCAAACATTCCTAGAACCTTAAAACATTCCAAACCAAAAATTCCTCACCCCACAAACACTCCATAGACCAGATTCCATGCAGAGAGCTAGTCACATTCTATGCACAGATGTTTAAAATTCCTTTCCATCCTATACCATCATAAAAATTCTACTAAAAAAGATCTGAATTTTTTTATTTATCGCTAAACGCGAAATGGTATTTAGTGCAAGATTATTCTAAACTTCAATCTAACTCTAATGATTTACCATTAAGTTTTCAGTTTCACAAATTCTTCTGCTCAAAATATTCAGGATTACCAACCTAAAGAGAAAAACCCCAAAGGAAATCAAGGATCAGATCCATTGCTTTAAACCAAAAGTGAGCACACATTTTCTCTCCCTATATGGACATTCTTTTCTTCTCCAATTCTATTGCTGAGTTCATAATTTTCTTCCAAGCCAAACATTCATCGTACCACAAATACTCCAGAAATCTATGAAGAAAGCCATCCAGATAGAGAACTGAAAGGATTGAGGGAAAGGGAAAAGAAAAAAGGAAAAGAAAACTATGGAACAACGAGGCCTGTGTTTGAGCCTCCAAGATTGTCTGAATTCTGCCCAATGCATTATAACTGGAAAAATCATCATTCAACACAGCCCAGGAAAATCTGGTCCCGGAAAATCAGCATCAGTTCAGCTGTATAGTAGCACCCAAGTCGACCCAAGTAAGTTCTCTACAACTGCAACAATGACACTAAGGTTAGGTGTGGCACTAAGGTTAGGTGTGGTAGTTTCACCTTCATTCAGTGCCTCCATGTTGGCTTTTGCATGGTGGTTTAGAGAGCTAACCTAAACACAATTATTTTACCCCTTTGGTTGCCTGAAATTGACTGAAAAAGTACATACCTCAAAACATTATCATAACATAATATTCAACTGATGTCAAATCTTTTCATTATCCAATAGATACAAAAAAGGGGAAGTTAAGCGGGAAAGCATACCTCAAACATGGAAAGAGTAACAAGCACAATGGGATAAAAAACACAACATATAAATTAAAGTTCCACGTCGAGCCAGATTTTGGGACTCCAGGAGCTTTTGTCATCAACAGCCAGCATAAGCACAAGTTCTTCCTTGAATCTGCAACTCTCCAAATCTCCGAACATCAGACTGTTCATTTTGACTGCAACTCTTGGGTTTATCCCTTTGATAAAACAAAAAGAAACCGACTCTTCTTTTCAAACACTGTAAGTTACATACTGAATTGGTTCATTTTTTCCCTTCTTCCTTGTTTTTTCTGTCATGTTTTTGGAATGCAATCAATTAAAGCATGTGACCTTGATTAGAGTTATCTTCCAAACCAAACACCAAATGCTTTGGTGGAATTGAGGAAGGAAGAACTTGCTAGCTTGAGAGGAGATGGAACAGGGAAGAGGAAAGAGTGGGATCGAATCTATGACTATGATAAATACAATGATCTTGGCGATCCCAATAATGGTCCTCAACATGCGAGGCCAGTCTTAGGTGGGTCAGAAATGCATCCATATCCCCGAAGGGGAAGAACTGGCCGCCCTCCTAGCCGCCAAGGTATTCAAAATTTTCTTGTTTTCATATTCCATTTTTATATACACTGATGATATATATAATAACTGTTGCATACTAATGTTCAGATCATCAAACTGAGAGCCGGCCAGAAACAATCAACTTAGATATATATGTTCCCCCAGACGAGCGATTCAGTCCCAAAAAACTGTCAGAGTTCACAGAAAATTCAATCCAGGCTGCTGTACATTTCCTTATACCTCAAGCAAAATCATTATTCCAAGAAAATTCCAGTAGTTTTGAGTCCTTCAGTGAAATACGCGACTTGTTTACGAGCAAAAAGTACCAAGTAGTGGAAGAATGGGTTACCCATAAATTGAAGAAGCTAGTACCAGATAAGCTCTTCAAAGAGATTCAGCAAACAAGCAAGGAGAACCCAATGGATTTTCCATTACCTCAAATTATAGCAGGTCAAAAAATATTTACCTACAGTTCACAATCTTCAATCAGAAAGTATATCATTTGCAGAATAGTAGTTTCACTTGTTTTTTTTTTAAAAAAAACAAACTTAAATTTCTTTAATTTTCAGGAAATGAATTGGTATGGAAAGACGACGAGGAGTTTGGGCGTCAGATGCTTGCAGGAATTAATCCAGCAGTTATCCGGACATTGGAGGTACATTCAAACACTGAACTCGATTTGAGCTATTAAAACTTCATCCTATGGCCTAGAACGAAAATTGAAATGTATGCCATTATCAGGTACCATACTACTGCAGAAACTAGAGCATGTAACGGAGTAGTTCCATGATAATCAAGATTAGATAAGAAAGAAAGTAGGAAGTGCAATCTCATCAAAATACAATATGCATAACACAATAAACCTCTGCAGATGAGCTCACTTATGATTTTCAGGTACTCTAAATGTGTGACCGACGTAATTTGTGAATTAAACCCCCCCAAAAATCAATCCAACATATAGCAAATCATAAGATCAACCTAAAGGCTAAATCAGGAAACTTGATTTAATGGAACCTTATGCTAGAAGACTTTTCCTTAGCATTTTAAATGAGTGCAAATACTCAATTAAAATGTATCTCATGACCATTTCTTTTCGATCAATTGTTGACAAGTTTCCTCACCAGACAAAACAGGCACCCAATATATCAAACCAAAGAAGTAAGAAACCAATCCTCATCTAGCTGGTTCAAGAATCTGTTCACCCTGAATACTGTTTTGAACCTCAAATATTAAAAATACTATTTTTTGCCCCAACCTTCTTTAATCTCTTCATATATTTTGTACAATGATTTTACATTTGAATGGTTTTTTGTGGCGTTATCACTTCTAATCTTCTATTTGTCATATCAATAGCAAAATACAAGCACGAGTTAACTGTTCAACAATTGAAATGCAATACAGAAATTCCCACCACAAAGCAAAGATGGTACCGTGAGTTCAATAAAGGCATCTGACATAGAGCACAACCTCGATGGGCTGACTATTAACCAGGTAACCACATCATTTCTCTCTTCCTTGAATAAATGAATGGTCGATGATGAAAAATATTTCAGGATAATCTAGTTATTTTAGTGCCAAAGTAAATATAGAGCTTCTCTTATATTAATATCTCAAGTTATCAGGTTTCATTCAGTTATTTATATCTCAAGAGTTATTTTAGTGCCAAAGTAAATATAGAGCTTCTCTTATATTAATATCTCTAGTTATCACGTTTCATTCAATTATTTAAATCTCAAGTTTCACTTATTATCATTTTTCTTTCTTTTTTGGTTAAACTATGCAGCTAACCTGCTACCTGAACTTAAATATAGAGCTTCTCTTAGAGCATCTAAAAACCTCTTACAGCCTCATCAGTTGTAAGAAATTACTGTGTAATTTAAAAACTGGAAAAGAAAAAAAGAAATAAAAAGATAAAGAAAAAAGAAGCATAAAATCGTTATATCATGCATGGCTGATATATCCAGTTCCTCAATTTTCAGCAGTGATAGTAGGAAACTATAAGCAACCATAAACTAGCTAAACAACTTTAGTACTTAATATAGACTTCCAACTGATCTCTTATCGACTTGAGAATGACATGTGCCATAGTTCATGGGAAAATTACCCTGACCTCCCAAGGTTTGACTTTATTACCTTCGGATTAAACTTTTAAAAAAATAATTTTGACACCCCTGCTCAGAATTAAGACCCGTTGGGTTAGTTAATGGTAGCATTGAAATTACCAAACTACCCTCATCTTTGATACAACCATTCTGTGTGTCATGCTGACATAAGCAACCCAAAATTTTAAAAGATGAAATTGTCCTTAATATGATTGCCCACTCACACAGTCACACCGTCTCCCTGTACCCAACCACCACCAGCAGATTGAGTTAAGGGAGTGGAGTTGAAATAACATAGCTAATTTCAGTAGCATTGTATACTGTTCATCTAGGAGCATAATTTACACATTAACTATTAACTTCAATCTAATTCATAAAATGATCTCCTTTCCATTTGAAAAATGCAATAACTTTTTTTAATAAGAAGGCTTTGTACTCAGGTGCAGACCCTTGCTTGTTTGCGATCCCTTCTTAAAAGTCCTTCCCGATTGGCCTTTTGGCAGTAGTTCAGTTGTGAAGAGAGAGGATGGGTGAAAGGCTCATTCGACTCCTATGTTCTCTCTTTCTCCACCTCCCCACTACCACCACCTCCTCTATATTCTCGCTCTAATTATAATACAAATGCAATGTGTGTGTGTATAAACCCAGATGCAATGTTAATTATGATATATATGTATATATGTAAGCACAATACATAGCATGATCTGCGAGGAACCCATCGATTGAATGAGCATGAGCATGACCATGAGAATTATTACTTAAACTGAGTGATGCTTTACATGTTTAATTAATAAAACCAGACATCATACCAACAATAAAAAGCAGAAGAGTGATGTTTTAAAATATAGCTTAAGAAGAACCAAAGAGAAAATGAAAATTATTTATTTAAACTTAGTGCAAGGAAGGCAGCTGCAGAGATTGATGCAGCAACGTCATATAGTTACTATAGAACACTGGTTGCACCAGAGAACCTGGTTCAAGTGGTAAAGAAGTGAGGTGTTAGTTCTTTCTTAGAGGATTGCATCTCACAAGAAAAAGCAGTCTGTTGAAAAGATGTCAAAAGTTGGCTAAGATGCTTTGACTATATAGATGGCCCAATCAATTGGTATTGGTAAGGAGTGAAATGGGTCAAGTTTAAGGAGTATAAGGACAACAGAAAGGCAAAAGAGAAATGTAGCATAGCTGGTGAGAAAAATTGTGATGACCTATATGGCCATTGACAGAGCAATTGGCGAAAAAAGGTGTGAGTTGACAACCACAAACAGCAATGGTACATGGACTTGTTAGATGTTTTAACATGATGATCATTGCAATGTGTTTCAGACAACAGAATGAAACATATTTCAAACTTTTGAAAGCCAGTTTCAGTTGTACCTGATATTGCTTAAGCCCAAGTCATTTGGCAATCAAACTAGGAACTGATCTCGCCTTGTTCCAGGCTCTAGACAAGCACAATATACTCTATTTAAGAACCAAAAGAATGAGTAAAAAGAAAGAAAAAAATAAAATGAAAAATACAAAAATGAAAACAATAGATAAATTTAATATATTACGCAAAGGGAATCCTACCAATTACTTTCTCATTAAAATATATGCATAAAATATTCATGTCCATTTAAAATACAAGACTCGCTCATAGATAATACATTTCCCCAAAAACCAATGTGAGTGGTACCGCCAGAACATGATACACATGTAAAAAAGGACAGAATATGGATTTGTTAAGTTAATATGACTTATGTTGGTGAACCATGCGTGACTTGCGAAATTCGATTTCCAAATAAAACACAATCTATCTTAAACCTAATCTCTATGATTTTAGAAAAAGTCTGCAAGCTTATTCATACCTAAGGCATAGATATTTTGAGCATATTGAGTGCATCCTAGCATAAGTGTATGGTGTGAATGTTGATCATCTGATTTTCTATGATGATAACGGAGTAATCAACACCAAAGTTCAATCACACAACCAACACAAGCTTGGACGACCAGTCATGGAGATTTCTGAGGTTTGGAATCCGGTAGTTGTATAGTTCATTCACATAGTAGATGCGGTTTGCCTAGACTAGAACTTGTGGTTTTTTATTAAGGTTTGTGCAAGATTACAACCCAAGACAGTAGAACAATCTTTTGAAGCCAACAGCGAGAAGGCATTATGCAAGTGAAATCTTCAATATATTGTGAATTAATAAAGTACACAAGATGTGTGTCCTGTGTACCCTAAAACAAGCTTGTCTTTCTCCCTCTTTGAACTTCAAAATCTTAAGCCAACAAATCTTTATCCAAGTACATTATGGTTTTTCCTAAAGGCAGTTTTTGGCACATAAGATCTTATTGCTCATAACCTTCGAATTTACATCACAGGCAACGAGCCAATGGAGAATCTCCATCTTGGATTACCATGATTACTACATGCCCTTTTTAAAAAGAATAAACACAAAGGGTGTATGTGCTTATGCGTCTCGAACACTATTGTTCTTAAGGAATGATGCCACATTAAAGCCAGTGGCAATAGAACTGAGCTTGCCTAGCTCCTCGAGTGACGAGGAGATCAGCAGAGTGTTTGTTCCATCAACTCAGGGTACTGAGGCAGCATTGTGGCAGATGGCCAAAGCTCATGTTGCAGTCAACGATTCCGGTTACCATCAACTAATCACCCATTGGTAAGTTATTTCGATTATTTTGCATGCTCGCTGAAACTACAGTTTTGAAATCATTTTCGAAATTATTTTGCTGGCAAATTTATGAATATAATGTCATGATGCATTTCCTAGGTTAAAAACTCATGCAATAGTTGAGCCATTCATCATCGCCACCAGAAGGCAGTTAAGTGTGATGCACCCAATCCACCAGCTATTAAATCCTCATTTCAAAGATACTATGCACATAAATGCACTGGCTCGGAGTATTCTCATAAACTCTGGTGGAATCCTTGAGAATACATTGTTTACAGGAGAAACCTCAATGGAGTTCTCCTCTGCTCTCTATAAAGATTGGAGATTTGATGAACAAAGCCTACCTGCCGATCTAGTGAAAAGGTATGTTATTGATCTTAATTTATGTCCCTCAATCTAGGCTAAAATGCAGAATACCTCAAGGATCATGTTCAAAAAAGAAGTGAAGAAAATGCACAAATTAAACCAAGACAAAGATTTACATGGTTCAGCCCTAAGCCTACACCCATAGTGGAACAAACAAGAGATTAATCCACTATTATAACTTAAAGACTACAACATGTATAACATTAACAACCCAAGGGAAACATGGTGAACCCTATCAACATCTCTCTTATAATATGTATCCAGTTACCGTCACTACAATGCAACCTGCTGCCACGCCCAACTTACCATCACTTCCACAGTCACATTATAGACAAATTTCTAATGGCACTGCTTCGAATTTTGAACCTAAAGAATTCACCAAACTTGCTGCTATCAAGAGAAGAAGTGACTTCGCACACAAGACAAGATCAGCTATATGGTTGTAGGTACATATACATATAATTGTAAGTAGATGTATATGTAGGAGGATATGTGTAAGAATGTGCATATATAGAAGGTATTGAATATTATATTACCAAAAACAAATAACATAATCACAATATCAACATTGCCTCAGCTATATGTCATATTTAATAACAATCACATTTGAAGATTATTCGTTTTTCAAAGGAACACAAGAAATAGTTTTGAAATAGCTGACTATTTTTATATTGCTTTTTTTTCTTCCATATTATAAATCCCTTTGGAACAAAAAATCCAGACGTATGGCCTTCAAAGGCACAGAGAAGGGCTCTGGAGTTCAACTTCTCTTTGAAGACTATCCCTACGGTGCAGATGGACTTGACATATGGGTTGCCATTAACACATGGGTAACAAACTATTGCTCATTCTTCTACACAGATGATGATTCTTTGAAGTCTGACAACGAAATCCAAGCATGGTGGTCAGAAATTCGAAATGTGGGTCATGGTGATAAGTGCAATGAAACCTGGTGGTACAAAATGGAAACTCGTTCTGACCTTATAGAGGCTCTGACAATTCTTATATGGACTGCATCAGCCCTTCATGCTGCAGTGAACTTCGGGCAATATGGATATGCTGGTTACCCTCCAAATCATCCTACACTGTGTCGAAAATTTATTCCGGAGGAAGGAACACTAGAATTTGCTGAGTTTCTAAGGGATCCTGACAAATACTATCTTAAAATGTTGCCTGAAAAAATTGAGATGACCCTTAGTATAGCACTGATAGAGGTGCTTTCACGTCACACATCAGATGAAGAATACTTGGGTCAAAGACCATCATTGAGGTGGACAGCCATTGAACAGATCCAGGAAAAGTTTAAGCAGTTTAGTGAGGACCTTCAAGAGGTGGAGAAAAGAATCTCAGAGAGGAATAGAGATCCAAAACTTAAGAACAGATGGGGTCCTGCCAATATTCCATACAAACTTCTGTATCCTGATACATCAAATGTTAGATCCAGAGGGGGCATCACTGGAAAGGGGATCCCTAATAGCATATCCATTTAAAATATCTTTAAGATGGTGTGTATGTAAATTCAAGACAATACTTACAATATTTATGTTTCGAACAAATATTTCTTGCATAAATGGACTCATTCAAGTTATGTGAACTCATAAACTTTGTTGATGATACTGAGTAATCCACTCAAGTGAGAAAACCATCACCGCATCAGATGAGCAATTGGGCAAGTGATACATGTATACTTAAAGGTACAAAAGGAATTTGACGTGGTATTTTAGTTCAATTGAACCATCAGGTTTCCATCTTATGTATAAAGCTTCTATGTAATCATTTATGATGTTATTATGGCCTTATATTAACACATTTTCCAACTTTAGATGAATAATAGAAAGTTACAACTCTTATAACCATTAGGTTAGATAAAAAGAATATAGAATCACAACATTTCAAGCAAGTGGGCCAGAACATATTCGAATCTAGAACAGCAACACTGCATTCGAATTGGCCAGCACATAAACACAGAACATGCATATGCATGTCATCTAATCAAAGAAAACATATTATTACATTTAGTACAATTCTTCCAAAACATGTGCCCAATATAAGCAGAGGAAACAAAATAGATAGATGTTAATTTGTTGGAGCGATGATAATCAAACTAACATACCAAATGGAGAGAGAATGTTGAAACTGCTCAAGAAAGCACCACATTTAGAAGACACAATTATGAAGTGAGGTGCAGTGACCTTGAGATGCTTGAGAATGTAATCTAAAACATGTAGTCCACAAAATCGAAAGCAAGCATCGCCACGGACTTTTTTTCCTCTGGTGCAATTTTTATCAACATCGACCTTGCAAGGCAAAAGGTGCATGATCAACTTTTCCAGGATTGCCTAACACCATATCAGCAACCATTTCAGCAGTCCCCAAAGCCTGAAAATAGGGGGGCAAAAAGCGACATGATTATTTCATTACTTTAAAAACAAGTAATTTGGAACCAACACTAAAAGGACTGGGTCACCCACTCTCCGCTTTGGTTTAAACAGCAAGCAACATGGACAGATTAACAACCCACAGACATAATTTTGGGTAGAAGAAACTGAAATTTTAGTGACGACAGACACACACACGCACATCTAAGTACATCATACTGGAATAATCTTGTATGAGTATCCCCTTAGATTTAATTTCCAGCAGCATAAGCAGAGAATAAGAAAAATTACCAATGTAAGTCCTTCGCCTTCATGCCCAGCAGCAAGGAACACATTTGACAAACCAGGAACAGGCCCAATCACTGGCTTACCATCAGGCACTGGAACAGTGAAATGTTATATTATTACATCAGTCTACAGTTGAAGACTCATATGTCCAGCACTATCAAAATTCCAATACTCAATTAATAGTTGAGAAAATATGTTTACTTTGCAAACTTACTATAAGGTCTTAATCCTATTCTCACTTCTCTGCTTTTGCTGAAATCACTCAAACATACTTCTCTTAAAGTGGGAAAGAACTCCCCAGCCCGATCCCATATATTATTGAGAATGGACGCATCCATTTCTGTATTGAACCCAACAAACTGGCGGCTGCTCCCTGGAAAGACAGATATGAGATGGAAGAATGTGCAAGTGTATAATTAGCAGAAGCTACTCTTAAAGAAGGGAAGCAAATGACTAATACAATAATAATTCAAATGATAATTGCTTAAAAAATTTCTACCAGACAGATATAAGAGAACAGGAATTAAAAAATTTGGAAAGATTTCAGGTTCTCTTGCATTGTAAACCCCCTAATAGACAAGCTAGGTACTACCACCACTGAATAAGAGATTTTGGAGCCTCATAATCAACCTCCATTACAGCATTCATATTCAATACCCATGCTCTTCTGGAAAGTCATGACAATGTAAAGAATGTTATTATTTTAAGAAGAAAGAAATGTAACGATCGGTCCAGGTATTTGTTAACTTCATACACTATGATTTTCTAATGAATCACCTTTGGACCTCAAAGACTCTTGTTGAAACCATCAGAAAGTGGAATCCAAATCTCGTTCTCTGTGTAGAACAATTTCACAAAGATTTCCCTTTCTATCTTCCTCAATTGACTCAACTATCCCCAGTAAGTTACAGAGTATCTTTGAGGCACTATGGTTATCATAATTAAAATAAATAAATAAATAAAAGGAAAGAAAAAATCTAAAACCAGCAATCATGGAAAAGTATACTTTGGTTAGGAGGCGCATTGCCAACAGCGTAAGCTCAGCTTCAGCCAAGGGAAAAGAAAAAAAATTAGCGCTGGACACGCAATACCAGTGCAAGAGAATATAACAATTAATGTAATTTTCTCTAATGGAAGAAATGAAAAGGAAAATTTATTATTGAAATGGGAAGAAAAAGACTCATTATAAGAAGGGAGAAAAAGATTTATAAGAAGAGCACAATAAAGAAAGGAAACAGAAAATAAAATTAACTAACAATCCAGAATAGGAAATAAATAACTAAATTGAAGGCTAGAACAGTTACCAAGAACAAGGTTTCCCGACGCATCCATGGTGGCTGTCATTGAAATAGACGAAGTTTGTGTATGAGTTGATCCTGAAGCAGAAACTGAAGAATCCAGTGTCACAACTTTATGACCAATGTAGCCCATCTCCATCAGACCATGATTCAGTTGTAAGGAACTGAAATTTTCTAGCACAAGCAGGTGACCCTGTAATTTAATATCAGACAAAAGGCATATTTAACAACCAAAAACTAAAGCAAATCATGCAACAATTTTGACATGAAGAATCACACTAAAAATATATCAGGGGATTAATATCATCACTTAAGAGCATGTTTTTCGTACAGACCATCTATTTTCTGTAGGTTGGGTAATATTTGTATATAGTCATAGAGTTGGGGTCTTCATGTAAATATGCGATACTTATAAATATATGTACACATTATTTTTTAGGGCTCTCTGTATGTGAAAGTACCCCCAAAATCAGTTTCGTATCTCTCTCTCTAACTCAACATGGTATCAAAGCCAACATTAAAACCCTAGCTCTTCATCATCAGAGAAAGTCGCCGCTGTTGTCGGAGAGAGTTGCCTCCAGCGTTGTCGAAGAGAAGTACAGCAATTGGCTTCGAACAGAGTCGTTGTCTGAGGTGTTGTCACCGGCAGAGGTAAACGCACGATATTGAGTCATTGATAGTTGTGGTCGTATTTGTTCCTATTGCCGATTGACATCGTGGATTCCTTCCTTGGTCGTTGTCGTAATTGCTGTGTGTAGTCATTGCGGTTGCTGGGTCTCTGTGCTCACTCTTGTATTTGTTTCTTGCTCGTCAGATCTGGTTCGTCCATCATCATTCTCGCAAGTTCATGTGTGTTCGTTGTTGGGATTCTCGGTGGTCGCTGGTTGTTGCTTGTTTCTCAGCTGTAGAGAATTGAGTTGACCCGATTCGACCAAGAACCAACTGATGGATTGCGTTCCCAGATCAGATCTGTGCATTTTCTTTTTTGCCAGTATAATCTGTTAAGAGGCCGGTTTCGCTTGTTTTATTGGCTGTTCAGTGTTCCATTTGGCTGTGCAGTGTTCAGTTTGGCTGCCCTTGATTTGTTTTGCATTTCTTCCCAACTTCTAGTTTCATAGCAGAACCTAATGAAATCAAGACAACTTCTGCTACAATTACTGATCATGTTGGAATACAAATTACTCAGTTAAACTAAGCAATACCAATTACTTATTATTGGCTCAGGCTGTGAATCCTTGGGAGCTAGATGGAAATTAAAATATGTCATCAATGATCCTCTAGCTAAAACTGATAAAGTGTATGATTATTGGAAAACTGAAAATTGCATGGTTATGTCGTGGCTGTGGAATAGTATGGAGCCTTCAATTGCAGCTAATTTTATGTTCGTTAATACTGCTAAGGATATTTAGGATGTTGTTTGAGAAACTTATTCTATGGACAAAAACGTTTCCAGAATTTACTCTGTGTATGAGAAGATGTTTCTTTCACAACAAGCAGGAAAAGTATAGGTGAATATTATAGTGCTTTGAAAGGACTGTTGGATGAGAGAAGTCAATATCACCCATTAACTACTGATGTTGAGGTTCTAAAATGACAACGTTTTCTATTTTTCTTGCTGGTTTAGATGTTGATATACAAAATATTCGTAATCAAATTCTTGCTAGTGATAGAGGACTCCCATCTTTGGGTAATATTTATGCTCGATTACTCCAAGTTACTGAATCATTGTCTTCAAAATCAGTTGGAAAAGAAAATCAGCTGTGTTGTCCTCATATTGGAATCAATATTCCACTAGGGGTCGTGCTAATTCAAGTTGTAACTGTGGCTATTGAAGTTATTTGGGTGGTACACGAGGACATGGTGGTCGTGATCATGATCGTGGCCGTGGGGACACACGTCATTGTGGTAATTGTAATGGTACAAATCATAATATTGATGCTTGTTGGGATCTATATGGAAAGCCAGCTTGGGTGAATCAAGCAATTATCTTTTCTGAAGGTGCTTCTTCTCATTCCTCAGTTGCGATAGATCATCTAGCTTCCAGTGATTCCATTTCACAACCAAGTTCCTCACCACTGTCACACTTTCTGATGAGGAGTTAAATGCCCTGGTCAAGAAGGCACAAAATTAGACCATTGCCGATGTTGCACATTTACTCACTCAGGTAATATTGGATGTTTTTCCGACTTATAGTCTACATCTTCCCCATGAGTTATTGACTCAGGGGCATCTGCGCATATGACTGGTAAGGATTTGTTATTTACTAAATTATATGTGACACCTCAAATCCCGTGATCCGAAACATCACCGGTAAAGACCCTAAACCCTGACCCGATACCGAGTCAGAATGGGGAAGCGATAAAAGAGAAGGCACCAATAGAGGTAGAAGCTACCTCTAATGTGATGCCCCAAATCCCATGATCCGGTGCATTAACCAAAAAGATCCAACCCGACCCGTAACCCGAGTCAAGAATGCGGAAGCTAAGAACAACATTAGCCTACATGGCTAATGAGACCATGAATGAAACACCAAAGGTCAAAATATGCCACGCTAAACAGATAGGAACATTCCATGAGGTTCTAGACTATATGGGAATGGATTCGTTACAAATCGGTATTTTTAACATACGAAAAACATGACCAATCTTCAATAAAATGATCATAACTCACTCCATGATTTGAATTTTGAGATGGAATTGGCACCATTGGAAAGATCGTTTCGACGCAGTCAGTTTAGACACAAGAATGACTTGGAGTTAAAAAGAATGAGATATGATTGTCTGAAGTTAGCTCGACGGTGCTGTGAATAGGGGGTGCGACCGGTCGTAGTTTTGGGCTACCGGTCGCCCAAAACTGAACTTGCTGCCCAAAACGAAAAATAAGGCTAGAAAAATAATTACCAAGGATCCGGTCACATGCAGAGGTGTCAAAACGCACCCAAATGACCCCGGAATGTCTCGGAATGGTCAGTTCGGTTGCAAGAAGGTACGGATGAGCTAAGGAACTCATCCTAAGGATTCGACCATGCGCCAAAACTTTCTCCAAACCTCATATAAATACAAATCATGGCATGGACAAATGTGATCCAAATGAATAAGTGAAACATATATTGAAGTGTGCATTAAAGATGAAACTCACACATTGGAAATAAAATGGCCTTATGGCCTCAAATACATCATCTTGAATTCACTTACACTTATATATTCTAAAAGTAATACATGAGTTTACAATTAAGAGGGAAAGAAATGTAACATAGGGTTTTGAAACCCTCAAATATACATTAGGGTCAATTTACAACAAAATCAGTCCACCAATGATACAAGACATGTCATCAACTCCAAAAGTCATCCTGAGCAACTCCTTTCCTGAAAATTGGTTATATAATAGGGGTGAGCACCACGGCTCGGTAGGATGATGGATTATACAAGTAAAATGCGTCCTTTGGAATCCCCAAGGACATGCAAGAAATGCTCGGCATCCCAAGATGGTAGGTCATGCAACCTAGAGTCTAAGCTTCGTGAAATGAAAGGGGATCATACATCAATTCTAGTTTCCGTAGCATAATAGTTCGACTCAACATAAACAAAACACCTAGTGAAGTCATATACCCAAAATACCAAGTAGATAAATAACGATCACAATAAGTTACAAGTTACATAAGGCACATTATCCCCATAATGGCAATCATGAACCCTAACAATAACAAGTCCAAGTAATTTCATGAATTATGAACTCAACGCAATCCCATGAACTCCACCATGACTCAACTCACATGATGAGGACGCCATAATGCAAATGATAATGCTCATGCCGTAAATCATATCCCGCATATTCCGATAAATTGGTGCACCACCGCACCCCATTGGACAATGTACACAGGCCAATGTACATAGGGGCTCACAACCCTTGGGCACCAATCCCCATTTCTCAAAAACTTTGGATAACAACTATCCATCAAAAGAAAAAAATAAAAAAAATCAAGTATGTCATGCATACGCAACCCGTGAACTCATGAACCGAATAATGACCACAATGTACCCATGGCCAAAGTGGCACTCACACATGACCCATGCATGATAAAAATATATCAATGCATCCCAATGCCAAAATAATGTCTAGCTACTCAAATAGACATTTGATCAGTCAAGTCCCCCAATGAATATAACCACATATACACCCAAATGTCCACATTGACACCATTTCTATGCAAGGAATGGTTAGGCAAATATAAAGTAATCCAATACGCAAATTCTATCCCTTCCCATCATGCTCAACATTTCTAAAATCCAACACAAGCCCAAGCTACACAAGAATCACATTCTTAATCATTTAACATTACATATATCACATATATGAACAATTAAACATGCACATATACATTTAGCAAATAATCATGCTTTAAATTTCCCCACATCCATAAGACCCAAAGAAGGTGCAAGTTACAAGCATAAGACACTCCTACCTCACTTTGAGGTGAAAACCTCAAATGACACCGAAACAGAAATGCTCCAAATGCGACGAGACTTCGAAGGAATGACAAGGAAGACGATAGGAACAATAAAGCCTCCTACGGCCGCCTCCGAATTCAAACCCGAACTCGGCCCCCAAAACTCAAAGTGTTCGGAACCAAAAACAAAACCAAGGGTTTTGAAGCCCTTGGTGTCCCTGACAAGAAACTCTTCAATAGCGAGTCAAGAATCAAAGCTCTAACCCACCCCACACTCAAAAGTGTCCGGAAATGAAAATAAGGACAAGGGTTTTGTAGCCCTTAGTGTCCCCAACCTTTCTCTTTCTTAAGGCTAGTCAAAATGGTGAGTGGAAGGCAAGGCAAAGCAAGCTCTAAGGTTGGCCATCAATGGAGGAACAAGGTGAGAGGAAGAAAATGAAGATTAGGAGAATGGAGACCAAAATCCAATCTCACACACACACATCCACACCCTCCACTTGTCAACAATCCGACCATCCACATGCCACAAATCAAGACCCAACACTTGTTCGAATCAAAACACAACACATGGCACTAACTTTCAAAAATTGCACAAAAGTCCCTCCAAGAAAATATCTAAAAAGATAATCGCACTATTGCCCCAAATGAAAATATCTTCAAAAGATAATCGCACAAATACCCCCAAAATGGAAATGTAACAAAATAAAATCGCACAAATACCCCCAAGTAACAAAAGGTAAAACGTAAACAAGTGCAATACAAATCCATAATGGCATGAAGGTAAAATACGCAAGATGAAGTGAAAGAAGTGTCGGGAACTATTCCCGAGCACTTGACTTCTTGTCCGACAAGACACAAACCAGAAAATAAATGGAAAAAGAAAATACAGAAAAATGAAAAAGGGACAGATCCTCACATTATACAAGTCTAATTATACATCCTCTGTTATTATGGCTTATGGTAATACTTGTCCAGATGTTGGTCAGGGTACTATTCAACCTACTTCTTCCATTTCATTATCCTTCGTGCAACTTGTTGCTCAATTTCCTTCCAATTTGTTATCTGCAAGTAAAATAACTAGAGCACTTAACTGTTCCGTAGCTTTTTATCATTTTTATTGTGTCTTTTAGGACCTCAAAACGAGGAAGACAATTGGTGGCGCACTTGAATGACGTGATATCTATTACTTGGACTGCGGTTATCCTATTTGTGGCGTGGCTCTTCACTCGAGGGTCTCTACTGGTATTACTGACTTTGGTCATCCTTCATTGAAGTATTTGAAGTCTACATTACCTTTTCTTAAGTCAGTGTCTGGTTTAAAGGGTTAGGCTTGTCAATTAGGCAAGCACCATAGAGTTTACTTTCCTTCTAGAGTCAATAATCGTCGGTCTTCTCCTTTTGAGTTAGTGAATACCGATATTTGGGGCCCGCCAGTCATAAAAGTGTACTAGCTTTTTCATATTTTGTTAATTTTGACAATAACTATTCAAAGATGACTTGGTTATTTTTAATTAAAGATCATTTTGATCTTTTTTCTATATTTCAGTCATTTTATAAAGAAATTAAGGTTCATTTTGGATGTGCCGTTCGTACTTTGCAATTTGATAATGCTATGGAATATATTAAAGGTGCTATTTCAGAGTTCTATGATTCCCATGGTATTCCCCATCAAACGTCTTGTTTTTATACTCCTCAGCAGAATGGAGTCGCAGAACGGAAAAATAGACATTTGGTTGAAGTCGCTCGTACTTTAATGCTCAATATGCGTGTTCCAAAGGAATTCTGGGGTATGCCGCTTTAACTGCTTGCTATTTAATGAATCGTATGCCATCTTCAGTTCAGTTGAAACTTGTGTATGTGTGTTTTAGGGTTAGATTAGAAGAAGAAGAGCAGAGGGAGGAGAGAAATCTGACAGAAAATAAATAAACCAGAAATATATAAAAGATACTAATCTGTGTAATCTCCATATAATCACCAATAATGAGGCAGAAAGATGGGAATGCAAAACTGTCAGACAATTGAACAAAGAAGCGTTGTGGGTATTTGAAATGGCCAAGAAGACTGATGTTTAATCAAAGAGAGATTATATATTATAAAAAGCATCTCAGTTATCAAGGCCAATGTGATAGAAAAAAAACAAGGCACAGGATGTGAGAAGAGGAAAACAAGGTATCCCATCCCATCTACCTCATTGTCATACTCATCGATTCGAGAAAAGAGAAAGGAAAACTAAGTATTGCTCTTAAAAAGGGAAGAAGATACTTGAAAATAACACCCTCTTTAGCATGAAAGGCCAAAACATTTCAGTTCTTCTGAAGAGAATCTTTGCTAATCTGAAATATTTAAACAAATGCAAGCATATCCTAGATTCTAACCTTTCGAGGCATTACAGGGACAGCAAGATCAATATCAGAATCCCTAGTCAGATCAAGCATCAAAGACCCACTCCAACAACCGGTAGCAACTACAACGGCCTTTTTGCTATACAAGGTGTTCTTGGTAGTCTGAACAGCTTCAACCTCCCCACAGCCACCAGATCTGAACATAAAAGTATTGTACTAGTTAATCTTGGTCAATATCGCCTAGTACAAGAATTTCCATAATCATTCTCTACTTTCAGCATAGCAGAAAAATGATGAAAACAAACCTTAATAAACAAGTCACAGGCTCATTATAGAACTCTGCATATCTTCCTTCTGATGCAAAATGCCTGTTACCCTACAATACCCACTTCTATATTAGTCACAATGCACGAGTAGCAAATACCGAAAATCACTTCGTTAAACAAGTCAGCTTTCTATCACAAGGCACAAAAGACATACCTTCTCAATAAATGCAACCGTACGTTTAGCATCCAATTGGTAGTCATCAGGTACAAAGGCCGCCCCACCTTCCTTTCCAACCAAAAGTGCAGGTTCCTCTAAAAGCAAATCACAGCTACCCAAGAACTCTGCTCTTAGCCCAGCTTCAGAAAGCCGATCCACCCTTCTTTTTAGCATGTCACACTCTTCAGGGGTTCTACCAATTAATAAGCTGCCTGTTAAAAAGAATACGACAACTATGTTTATAATATGCTTTTATAAGCTATTAAAATTATGTAACAAATTCAGTGGATGTCATTGGCATTGAGCTCACCACCAAACCTAAAGCCATGTATATGCTGGTATATATACATATATATATACATGTACTGTCTGAGCACATGAATCCCAAGTGTCGGATAAAAATTGACTTATGGAAAAAATAATAAATAAATAAATAAATCTCAGGATGTGCAGGTTTCCAAACCAACTTTTATTTTCCCCTAAAGTATGTTTCCCAAAAGTCTCCTTTTTGTTGGGTTATGGGGGAAAATTGTAAATCTATAGAGGAGATAGTTGATATTTTGGGTTCCTTGAGCTCTTAGGACCTTTTTGGAGCTGTTGTGTAGTTTTCGGGATGCGTTCCACTTTTGAAGGCTTTCTTATTCATATTTACTTATCAAAAAAAAAAAAAGTCTGTTTCAACATTTCATAAGCAACTAAATGCCTTTCAGGCAGAACACATATTCCGGATAATATTGACGTTGAAACAAATGTAGCATGCATATAAAATAGTGTCTTGTGACAAATTCACACCCCTCATCATCCAAGTCATACTCTTAGAATACCTGTCTTTTGTCCTCTCCAAATCCATATATCCATTGAAATCTTTGGTCTATTTATAAATTGTATAGGCCACCAAAGTCCCCTATTAAATTCTAGATTCCTGGGCTCAACTCTACTTCATCTTCCCTCTCGGAAGGAAGAGAGAGAGAGAGAGAGAGAGAGAACTAGAGAAGAAAAAGGAAGTTCTCCTTTGGTTCTGCCATGTGAAGGATATAAAGTTGAAATGAGACCTCAAGCCAAACACCCACATGAACAAAAAAATAAAACAAAATAAAATTAGTTCTACTCTGGTTCCATCATCACAGAGCATACAGGGAAAAAAAATCTACACGCTAAGCAACCTGTTTTCTATCGATCCTGTACCTTGAGGCTTTCTTATAAAGCCCCTTAACTGAAGGGTTTTTTTTTTGGCTACGGATTGGTACGGATAGAATCCGAAAACTCTGCATGGCATGAAACAATTATAAGCAGATGAAGTAAACCAAAGAACGATTTCTCTATTTCGGACATTGGGCAGGAGAGCCAGATCTAAACCACAGTAAAGAAAATGGAGTTATTTATATCCTTTAGAAATCTTAAGTATTACATCTCCTATGCTAGGCTCACTGGTCTGATTTTTCTTGAGTGCTGTCTTGCCAATTTCTCCTCTTTTGTTAATCAAATCACGGGTAGAGCTGCTTTCATAGAGAAACCCTATGGTTCATGAGATTTTGAAGCCTCTCAAGTTAACATACAACATTATACAGCATATCTGCAACAAAAATAATCAAGCTTCTGATTGCTTAAACACTTGCACATAAATTATATTAACTACATCTACATTAGGCAAGATCTTCCTATTTGAATTAAGAATCTGCTTTGATCAAATATATAGGGGTTGACACAAGCACGTGTAAATTCACATTATGATGTTGCTTAATACCTTATTAACTGTAAATCAGTTGATTGTTTAGGAGTGGAACTCTTGCTTTGTTCTTTTGTTTTGTACTTAATTTATATCAATATCCAGGTGGGGTTCACACATCTACGCAACTATTACAGTGACTTGTCCAAAAAGGTCCCCTCCAGCTGACATTTAGACAAATGTGGTACTAAAAAATCAATAACAGAAGTGGAAGAACCAAAAAAAACTCATTTCATCCTTTGGGGAGAAAATCAGAAAAGTTAAATACCTTAAAGAAAAAGAAAAATCTTAAGAGTTAACTATGCAGAATCTATTATAAAGCACTATATTAACTCGAGAATATTAATTAACCTGTCTTCTTCCAACCGAGTGTCTCTAGAGGATTCATACCCTGAAGTTGAATGTTCTCTGCCAACATCTCCCACAGTTTACGGCTTCTTGTTATTAACTCCCATGTCTCACTCCCAGGAGTTCTGTGTACCATCCATATATAGCCCTGTCCTAGAACCGGTTCAAATGCCAAGCAAAAGGTGAAGACATCGTACAATCAATCAGAGTTCAGGAAGAAGAAATATGCACACCATAACTTTCAGAAAAGAAATAAAAAAATTGCACACCATATATTGCTTGAGCATTTTTTTTCACTTGGTCAGATTTTTTTTTTTTTTTTTAACATCACTTAGATCAAAATAACAAGAGCATTTCACATCTATCTACAGGAGCTAATGCCATGATTAACAGAGTGTCCCTACATTGAACATCAATTATCTAGTGACCCACAAATTGTCTTGATTTCCTGAAAAGAACAGGAACAATAATATCTAATAAAAAATCATACCATATGAGCAGTATATCACTAGTCTTTGAGTAACATCAAAATCAAGGAGCTTTTTTTGAATTGTATTTGCAACTAAGATGTTAATGGGTAAAAGGATAGGAGAATTTGAAAGTATGGAATGATACCAAAACAAACTAGTATGCCATATATATATATACACACACACATACATAAATACTGGCAATATATATATATATATATATATATATATATATATTGTCACAAGTGAGTTGTCTACACTAATAGATGACAGTTTGACATACAGCAGAAAAGGTGTCAATGCTTACATGTATTGATGTCTATGCCTGTATATGGCAGGAACTGTGGATAAACTATTAACAATTAGTAGGTAACAAATTTGGATTATGGAACTCAAAGTGAGTTTTTGGCTGAAAGATCGTTGCTCATCTTAGATTACAAAGCTAAGTTGATCTATCAAACAAAACCTCAAACACTTTATGGGATGCAGCTTTATTTTTTAATTTGAGATTACTCCACTTATGGGGAGTTATGAATGATCCAATATTCTAGTTTCCTTCCTGTCCTAAATTTTCTCATCAACCAAACAGATGTAGAGCGTACCTGCACCAGTAGCGCCAGAGCACGGCACGGCTGCGTCGACCACGGCGACGGATAGGTCCGACCCGAGAAGTAACTGGCGGGCGATCGTCAGCCCAATGATTCCGGCACCGGCCACTACCACATCGAAAGAATGGGACGCAGCGATCGGGTTGGAATCAGAAACACGAAGGGCTTTGAATGGATTGATGTGGACTTTCTTGGTTGACAGTGACAATGATTTGTCGACACATTTGCAACCAAACAAGCTTGAATTGAAGGCGAAACTGCACAACAAAGGCCTGGGAAGAGATGCTCCGACGCCATTTAACTTAGGGTTAGGGTTTGGAGTGACAGAGAGAGAAATGGAAGCCATGAGTTCTTCGTCCAGGTGGTTTCTGCTACTGAGAGTAAGCTGATTGCTCAGTTGAAGCTTCGATAATGATGTGTATTGTAGTTACACGTGGGTTATGAGTAGGGTCCAAACCCAACCATCAATGAATAGAAAGGGATTACAAATCCAAAAGGCCCAATGGCCCAATTTGTAAGAATCGATCGAATGAATGATTAGGCCCGACCCGGCCACCTTTAAGGGGGATGGGTTTGACAATGGATCATGCAAAAAACCCATTTATTCAATGTGAAAATATAGGTAACAGGTGGTGTCCCCGTCCAATGCACCAACAACATTCAACCAAAAATATGCCGTACCAAGGTTATTTTACAAGTGGTATCCCTGCCCAATGCACAATCATACTTATTTTGAAAACTCCCTATTTCTTGTGTACCAGGGATATTAATCATATTATTATTCTCAATGTCGAAATGTTATATACTTTCTCCTAGTATCGAGTGCTGAGATATTATATACTTTCTCGTGGTATCGAGCCTCTTTGACCATCCCCGTCTACCATCGAGCACATGCAGGTTTCCTCGCGCCACATGTCCTAGGCAATGAGTTCCTCTTACACTGCAAATTACTCAGGATGGCTTTTTATGGTTGATGATTTAAGAAATCGTTTGACTTCAGTTAATAAGACCAATACTAAAGAGCACCTGAGTTAAAGACTTGTCTTGACTCCTGCCATTTAAGTTAAAACCATATAATGACATGGCTAGTTAATAGGGATAAGTGTAAAAAACACCCCTAAAGTATATTCCGCGTAGCACTTTTACCCCTTATTTAAAAAAATGTACAAAAAACACTTATAATCTTTTCATGTTATGCAAAATACCACCTCTAACATAAATTAGTGCTATAATACCCGTTTTGCCCCTTTACTCTTTCAAAAATGTCCAAAGGGGTATATATGCTACTAATCTGATAGTATAGAGGTGATATGTGAACATTATATTATATATATATTTTTAAAAACTTTTTTTCCTATATATATCTCTAAACAATTTTTATTTTTTTAACTTTAATAATTTATAGAATAAGGATTTGAATTTTTTGAGTTTCAGTTTACTCTTTTCTATTAATTTTTTTTTTCTTTATTTCGTACCAACACTGTTAAACAAAAAATAATAATTCCCAATATCAGTAAGCACTAGTTAATTTGAAAAAAAAAATTGTTTTCTTTAGTTTAAAATTTGTTTTCTTTAGTTTGCACTTTATTTCAGTTTTTATTTTTATTTTATATTTTCATTTTTACTTGTCCATCGCCGGCATCCTCTAATAATGTCATTTTCGATGATTTTATAAAATGATTCAGTAAGGGTAATTTAGTCAAATTATGGTTTAAATTTGTCAGATTGACCTATTTGGACCAAATTGAAACTTTAGGGTTGTTTTTTGCACACGATGGACATCCTCCAATAGTGTATTTTTCGATTATTTTACAAAATTATTATTTTTATATATTTTATAAAATGGTTCAGTAAGGGTAATTTAGTTAACTTAAAGTTTAAATTTGTCAAAGGTACTTATTTGCACCAAATTGAAATTTTAAAGGTGTTTTTTGCACGTGAAGAATATGATATGTACCGTAAGCATACTTTAAGAATATTTTTTGCACTTAACCCCTAGTTACTATTTAAAGTCCTAAAGACCATTATTAGTGGAGGTGTCTGAATATAGTTTTGTTTCCGACATCAAAGCAAAAGAAATCTAATTTTCCAGACAAAAGAATATCCTATTGTTTTACAAAAAGTACATGTGAAATTTAGATGGAGTAGCAGTGACGCACCATCACTGCTGCTCTACCCAAAAATGCAATTCAACAACCAATCCTTTCATGAACTCTCAACCTTTCTAAGAGCCCATTACTACAGCATCGCCCTTAGGCCTCGTTTGGATTGAGGGAATTGGAGAGATTTGGAGAGAAAAGAAAGGGAATGATAGAATTAAGTGTGTTTGGTTGGAGGGAATTGAGAAGAAAAGAAATTATTGGGAAGGATTTGGAGGGATAGGCTATCCCTCCAAATCCCTTCTGCACAGTAAAAACAAATCCTTTCAAAGTTAAGAAGATTTGAGATGATTTGAGGGGAAAGGATGACAAAGACAGAATTAACCTTCCAATTTCTATATACAATAGGGCAGCAGCGTCTCAAGTCCTCTTCTCTCGCATCTGCAAGCGCCGCTCCTCTTCTCTTGCGTTTTCTGTTTAAGTCTCTTCTTCGTGTTAGTACTACTAAAGAAAATCTGAACATTTTAATCCATTGAAAGGCCAAGAAAAGAGATAAGATTGGAATCAAAGATGGGTTTTCTAGGATTTGCAGTAACGTGCTTTGATGTTCTTTCTTGGTATTGTATTAACTTCTTCTTCTTCTTCATTTTTTTTTTTTTTTCACCACAAAATGAGAAAATTTTGGAAGAAATTAGTAATTTTTTTTTTTTTTTTAATCCTACAAACAAATTAATCTGCTTTTGTTTATCTATTTCCATTTTCCTTTCGAAGACCCAAAATTTCATGTTAGATGCTCTGTGATCCTCTTGGACTTGATCTGCTGCTCTTTATTTCATTTCAAGTTCATGCTCAGTATTATATATATAATATTGCAAAGTATGTGTGTATAATCAGTTTATTATATATATAATATTGCTGGTATGGTTATTACATCCTTCTTGCTGCAATCAATTTATTTATCCGAGCTTTGTATCTCATTAATTGACTTGCCTTCCAAGCTCTTCAGAGCTTTGCAATGCAGGTTTTTTCAATTTTTTAATTTTTTATGTCCACACGCGAATAGGTTTCTTGTATCATAAGGCTGTTGTTTATGAAGAGATGAGAAAATGTGGTATAAAAATCTTACATACATACATATATTACTTATCAAAATCTACAAAAGGGTAATACAGTAATTTCATTATTATCATTTCCTTTTTTTTTTCTCTCTCCTCTGTTTTATCCAAACAAGAATATTATATTTTCCTTTCTTTTCTCTCTTATTTATCCAAACATTATAGTTATCCTTTCCTTTCTTTTCTTTTCTCTTCTAATCCTTTCTTTTCTTTTCCCTCCTCCGTATCCAAACGAAGCCTAAATATCGGATGGCACCATCAAACCTCAAATTTATGTCAGGATCAAAAAGACTAACAGAATCTACTACTTCGCACCTGGAAGCCCTTGCTTTAAATTAAAATTAGAACATTATAAGTCACAGATCATCCAAATTAATCATAAAGTCACTGTTCCAGTAGATCTCTGATTGCTCCTCCTTGGAATGAGCTTCTGAAAGGTTGTCAATGTCTGCAAAAATGAGAGCGACTGGATTAGCAGGATGCTAAGGTTTCTCATTACTTGCGACTTGACCTGAGTTTCATGGGCAAGAGCAGTAAACATGAAAGAATTTTCTAAGCAAATAGTTAGAATGGTATATGTATATGTGCGTGAGAAAGTAGTAAGAGAACTTGCCTTGATGAGGAATTTCCAAATCAATAGGCGCAAAAAATCGTTCTTTTAAATAGGAAATAGCTGCACGCAAATTGGTCAGAGGGCCACTTTCCTTCATAAGATGGTTGACATCGAGTATTTGGGGGAAAACCAATTGCAAGGAGCTACTGAACTCATCCATAGTTGGAGGTCCCCTCCATCCATAACCCATTTAAATAAATATCGCTAAATATTTTATATTTATTTTCAAAAATTTAAGGGTACAAAAGTTCAAATTTCATTCAACTACGAGACACCTTTATAAACTTAGCTTTGTGACCAAACAAGTGATATATGGGGATAAGAATGTAATCTTATCTTCTCTCTCTTCCTCATTTCTCTCTTTAACGCACGCCTGGCCCTCTCTCTTCCGGCCGTTATTTTCTCTTGCTCCTATCTCTTCACATTTCTTCAGATCTCTCACTGGAAATTTCAAGTCTTGTCCACAAAAACTTCAGATTGAACGAAGGTGACATAGAACACGATATTGGCAAAGGATAACAAGTCTGTAGCTTTGGTTATATTGTATCAGTTTATATTTTGTACCATGATTTGAATCTTGAATATTCTCCATGACTTTTTCCTTTGCGTATTATATATAGAGAGATTGAATATATATATATACCCACCCATACAGATATCATCTTCTTCTATCTGTTAGCAAAGGCAAAAAAAAAATATAAATAAATAAATAAATAAAATTCCAACACTAAGCCGTGTCATCTAGGTGTTTCCAGCGTATCCCTTTTCCTATTTAAATAAGGATAATACTTAGCAAATTCCAACACTAAGCCGTGTCATCTAGGTGTTTCCAACGTATCCCTTTTCCTATTTAAATAAGGATAATACTTAGCAACTCACTGGTGAGTAGCTTCACCCTACTCACCCATTGTATGTTCTAATAAGAATTTACCACATCAGCTTTAATAACAAAATAATTCACTTTTATTTAATGGTTAATCCGAGAAAATATAGGAGGACGTGAATTATTTCGATCTAGGCCATACATCCAGAAAATTTGGTAATCATTTGTTGCATAATGGACCAACGATTCAAGCAGGCGATATGATTTCTTTTGGGTGTACCGACACCACTAACGTGTTGCTCAAAATTGTCTTGAATTCGGATCCATAACGCTACCTTTTGTTGGTCTGAACCGATGACCGCATTAGTGCTAATGGCCATCCACGCATAACATAAAGCCCCATCTTCAACCGTGGACCAATTAGGAGGCCGAATAGCCCTTTGCTTTCTGGGAGGTTGGGAGTTAATGGATTGTGGCACTTCAGTAGGAATGTTGGAAACTTGAGAAGGTTGATGAGACGGCAATTGAGATTTATCTCAACAAATTGAGATTCTTCTCCAACAAATAAGAAGGGATCAAAATTATGATTTGATTGGTTGAATTGGGAATTGTAGTTGTAATATGGTGATGGAGGATTCATGGAATTAAACTTGAGTAAAAAATATAACTAAAAGATTGAGAAAATAACTTTGTGGTTGTAATTGTAGGTTGAAAACTAGAGAAGATGGGTTAGATATGAGGTGAATAATAGTAGGGTTTGATGTATTTATAGAGGAAAAATGAAAGATTTTTTTTTTTTTAAAAATAAATAAATATATATATATATATATATAATGACTTTTTTCAAAAAAAAAAAAAAAAATCAAAAAATAGGTTTTTGTACCAATATAGCCATTAAGGCACTGTTTGGGTCAGCCAAACAGTGCCTAAAACGGCTATATGTTACTAGGAATATTTTAAAAAGCAATTTTTCTTTTTTTTAAAAAGCACTTTTATCTATTTTTTTAAACTTTTTTTTGCCTAAAAAAGCATTTAAGTCATTGTTTGTGTCAGCCAAATAGTGCCTTAATGGCTCTTTGGTTCAATTATTTTGAGGAAAAAAAAAAAAAAAGATCAAAAGCAGCAAAAAAACTAAAATTTTTTCCTTTTTTTCAGCCAAACAGGCCTTACCAAACAGTGTTCTGGGCTAAAACACTGTTTGGGCCAGAATTTAAAAAGAAAAAGAAAACTGATGCGGGCCCGCATGTCAGGCCCGCAATTCGTTAAACCAATCTTGGTTTTTGGCTACTTGGATCAAGATTGTCTTAATGGGGCCCACTTTTTGAAGAGTCCATTGGAGCAACCCAGTCTTCAAAATTGGCCCAACAACGCCGGATCACTCACCATTGGACCTACTCTAAAGCCATGTATTGGTATATATACATATGTATACAAGTACTGTCTAGCACATGAGTCCCAAGTGTAGGATAAAAATTGACCAATGGAAAAAATAAAAATAAATAAATAATGCAAGGATGTTCAGGTTTCCAAACTAACTTTTATTTTCCCTAAAGTCTGTTTTCCAAAAGTCTCTTTTTTGACGCTTTCTTATACACATATGTACTTATCAAAAACAAAAAATCTGTTTCAACATTTCATAAGCAACTAAATGCCTTTAAGGCAAAACACCTGTTCCCGATAATATTGATGTTGAAACAAATGTAGAATGAATATAAAATAATGTCTTCGGACAAATTCACACCCCCTCATCGTCCAAGTCATATTTTTTCACTTGGTCATAATTTTTATTTTTATTTTACATCATTTGATCAGAACAACAAGAGCACTTCGCATCTATCTACAGGAGCTAATGCCATGTTTAACGAAGAGTGTCCCTACATTGAACATCAATTATCTAGTAACCACAAACTGTCTTGATTTGCTGAAAAGAACAGGAACAATAATATATCTTATAAAAATTCAAACCATATGAGCAGTGTATCACTATTCTTTGAGTAACATAAAAATCAAGGAGTTTTTTTTTATCTGTATTTGCAACATATAGCCACATAATCAGACCCAACAAACTAATATGCCACTTAATTGATGGAGTCAGAAATTATAGTATGGATTAATACCAAAACAAACTAGTATGCCACTTACCTAATGCAGTTTATATATATATATATATATATATATTGTCACGTGAGTTGTCTACAGTAATAGATGACAGTTCGACATACGGCAGAAAAGGTGTCAATGCTTACATGTATTGATGTCTATGCCTGTATATGGCAGGAACTACGGAAAAACTATTTACAATTAGTAGGTAATAAATTTAGATTATGGAACTCAAAGTGAGTTTTTGGCTGAAAGATCGTTGCTCATCTTAGATTACAAAGCTAAGTTGATCTATCGAGCAAAACCTCAAACACTTCGTGGGATGCAGTTTCACTTTTTAATATGAGATCACTCCACTTATGGGGAGTTATGAATGATTCAAGATTCTAGTTTCCTTCCTGTCCTAAATTTTCTCATCAACCAAACAGATGTAGAGCGTACCTGCACCTGTAGCACACCAGAGCACGGCACGACTGCGTCAACCACAGCGATGGATAGGCCCGACCCAAGAAGTAACTGGCGGGCGATCGTCAGCCCGATGATTCCGGCACCGACCACTACCACGTCGAAAGAATGGGATGCAGTGATCGGGTTCGAATCAGAAACACGAACGGCTTTGAATGAATTAGCCAATACATTCATCTTACTCCGCAAATTACTCAGGATGGCTTTTATGGTTTACGATTTAAGTAATCATTTGATTTTGGTAAATAAGACCAATACTGAAGGCACCTGAGTTAAAAACTTGCTGACTCCTGCCATTTTAAGTTAAAACAATATAATGGCATGACTGGTTATTAGTTAAAGTCTTAAATACCATTATGAGTGAAGGTGTCTAAATGTAATTTTGTTTCTGACATCAAAGCAAAAGAAATCTGATTTTCCAGATAAAAGAATAGTTACAAAAAAACAATATCTGATTGTTTTACAGGAAAGTACAAGTGAAATTTAGATGGAATAGCAGCGAGGCACCATCACTGCTCTAGCCAAAAATGCAATTCAACAACCAATCCTTTCATGAACTCTCAACCTTTCTAAGAGGCTATTACTGCAGCCTCGCCCTTAATATCGGGTGGCACCATCGAACCTCAAATTTATGTCAGGATCAAAAAATACAACAGAATCTGCTACTCCGGACCTGGATTCAGGCATCGTAGCCCTTGCTGTAAATTAAAATTAGAACATCGTACGTCACAGATCATCCAGATTAATCATCAAGTCACTGTTCCAGGAGATGACTGATTGCTCCTCCTTGGAATGAGCTTCTGAAAGGCTGTCAGTGTCTGCCAAGGCTTTGTCCAAGGCATCAGCTAAATTTTTTTCCCACAGACCCAACCTACAAACTCTGTTGTAAGCCTCATAACATGCAGCTCTTAGACCTTCTGATATCAACTCTCTTAAAGGTTCACAGAAAATCCCTCCAGATTTCATTGCCTCGAGGAAACTTTCAGCGAAACCAGGATCCCAGAAGACAACAATGGCACAACTCTTATCCACTAATCGGACATCAAATTCTTCAGAGAACACTTCATGGGAACCACGGAGCTGGTTCTCGAGCATTCTGGCAGATATCCCACCCCTAAATCCCCACAAGAAAACCAAATCCTTACATCTAACTTTTCTCGTGTTGTCAGTCCAAACCATGACATCCCCATTAATAGGATCTTCAGAACTGGTTGAGCAAGGATTGAAGATGTTTGCATAGCATTCAAGGGCTGAAGTCAAATGGCCTTTATCATCTTCATGAGCTTCAGGAGTGATTTTTAGTATCGAGCAAAGTTTAGCAAACAATTGGCTTATCCTGAGAACATTATGGCCATGTCTATTGCCTTCATTTGTCTCACCTGATAACCAAAAAGTGGTAAGTCAGGTTTGGTAATGGACCAGGACATTACTGGCATCCTCATGGAAAGTCCATGAAAACAAGGTCAAGTTGCTAAAGATCTCCTTTGCCAGCGAAACCTCCATTTTGCAAAAATGAGAGCAACTGGATTACCAGGATGCTAAGGTTTCTCATTACTTGCGACTTGACCCGAGTTTCATGGGTACTCCAAGAGAACAGTAACCATGAAAGAATTTTCTAACCAAATAGTTAGAATGGTTTGTGCATATGGTGAGAAAGTAGTAAGAAACTTGCCTTGATGAGGAATCTCCAAATCAATAGGCGCAAAAAATCGTTCTTTTAAACAGGAAATAGCTGCACGCAAATTGGTCAGCCTTTTCAGAGGGCCAATTTCCTTCATAAGATGGTTGACATCGAGTATGTGGGGGAAAACCAAACGCAAGGAGCTACTGAACTCATCCATAGTTGGAGGTAGTGGAGTGAGGAATTTTGAATGAATGAATGTAAAATCTGCATGAGGAAAATTTGAGAGCAAAAAATCAGTAATACAAGGAAAAAAGGTTGGGGCTGCAGAGTTTAAAATGACTAGGAATTATTCATATAGAGTTAAACCATTAAGTGAGTTGTGGGCAACAACAGGCTTCTGAGAAGCGGAAATTGAATCGATCACCTCTCGGAAGCCGCGAACACGCTTGTTTTGTTCCTCTTCCATATGTTGAAGCTCCCTCTACAACATTTAAAACCACAGGTATATAACCGAGGCTTGAACATGCAGTATCACACATGATTAAGCCTTACTTAGTACCTCAAAAAGAATCCTATCTTCTTTTGAGCTTGTCAAAACAATGCGAACTGCCTGGGTTCCCCCTCCCTTGGTTGGGATTAACAAAGGTACAAGATCATCAGAGAACTCTTTCAACATCTGCAGTCAACAGAAAAGCCTAAAAGATAAAAGACACAATTCGCTGTCCTAATAAAAATTTCCATTATAAGAACCTAGAAATGATGCTCTGCAATTACTTCCAAGTTCCATGATTCCATCCAACCATATATGGTCTAAATATGTGGCACATTAATATACCTCTAGTGCAAGTTGCACTTGACGCTCACTGCAAACATCTAAATTCAAGCATGGCCTGGACCCATACTCTTCACCTCCTACAATGAGTTTCCTTAAGGATCTGATTAAAGCCTCTGCAGATGACCAGAAAACAGTTTGAAGACATGGGACGAAAATCAAGAAAATAAAAGAATGTAATGCAACATTTTCCTTACCCTCACTCCTTGTGTTTGAGTCTTTACATGCATTTCTCCAATGCTTAACTCGTGATTTAATTCTTTCTACAAATATTGTATCAGCAACCGAAAGTGTAGAAGGCAGCTGCACCACATAATTACTAGGCACTGGATTCCCTATTCGATCTTTTGCAGCTGATTCCTGTGCTCTGGATAAGTATGATATGCCTGCCCAAAAATGAAGCTGTATCACTTCCCTAGAACTATGCTTAGAGAATTATTACTTTTACTTTCCTATAACTAGATTCCTACATGGATTATCTAATGGAGATTGTAAGGAACAAGATGATAACTAGAAACTTACACACACACACACACACACATATATATCAGATCCCACATATATAATATCTTAGATACAGTGACTGAACGAATTAAAATGACTTACCACTGTATATGCAGACATTGAAATCAAAACCTTCCTGAGCCATTGTGGTCAAATAAGACGATTGACATGAAAAACTGTAAGAAGGCATCCCTATTTTAAACTCATCCCTAGGGAACAAATGAAAGTTGTATCTGCACAAAAAGGGGAAGATTCCGTCATTTATAAATTGTTGCAAATGATACAAATTGTTTTTCCACTTATGAAAAGAAAGAGTCATCTAGTTTACACTGTCTAAGTTTTAACATTATCAACTGGTAACAGCCAAAGGTGCGGTTAAAGGCTCATTTGAGATCAACTAGTAACATAAATATGCCAACCTTGCTCATATTTTAAAGGTTGTTTATTCATTAAGCTCAACTCAAACTTGGCTCGATAAGCTAATAAGCACACTACGATTACATAAAAAAAGACAAGATACTCGAGCTAAGATAGCAATCAGCAAGAGTTAGAGGCCGCTCAAAATTAACTCCAGAAATAAATGAGCCAAGCTTAATGATTTTGGAATTTGTTAATCTTTTGAGATTAGTTTGACTGGTTTACTCCACCTGCAACCGAACGATCAAACTTCCACAGCAATGGAAATCTTCAAATATACAAAACAAGGGATAAACACAGGACCTAGATATTTAACATTCAATATTTTTTCATTGGGGTATATAATTCCAATGGGTTAGTCAATCAAAAAGAAAGAAAAAAGAAAAAATAAAAATAAAAGGCGGGTTAGTCAATTGAAATATCATTTGTTAGTTGCCCATAATATGCATATCTTCCGGTCAATTGCATGTGGTTATAATTAATGAACGATCACTTTTCACATCCACATTGAAAATGAGGGAATTTATACCAAGCCAATAAATTGTGGTTTACATGTGTGCTCCACAAGCATAACCAATCCAACTCCCAGAAAGTAGGAGAAGAAAGATCTTGCATAACGAACCAGATTCTGATGATAAATAAGAACCATTGTAGTTGATGGAGCGAGAGATTTGCAAGAGCCTACCTCAGCCCTATGGGTTCTTCGATGATTAAGATAGATAAGACAAGTAAGCTGTGATTGCACAAAGAAAAATCCTTGATAAATTAGCTGGCAAAGTGGAAAGGGGCCAGAAATTGGATAATATAAGGATTTAGTCCAAAAGAAGCAAAAGCTATGGGATCATAGAGACAAGAAGTTCATGTCAAGCAATGAGTAAGAAGGAACAGTTGGCAGAATGAAGGTTCGTATATCCCTTACCTGATTAAGATAGAAGGAGCTAAAATTAACACACGCACAGTCTTTATACCCTTTGGTTAATTGAATACTCATTCATTGAATAATCAAATGAATAAATTGGTTGTCCTGGGATTTCCAGATTTATGCTTGTCCATTTCCTTTCACATTTTTTCCTACAATTTTAAGCCCTACTTCAAACTTGGTACAACAACACCGTAGCTGGAAAAACTAAACAAAAAGTAATATTGGGTAGCTTTTTGAAGGCATTCGAAATTTTAAAAATATAGGGTGCCTCCCTGTGACTTTCTGGTCTATAACCGCCATCACGGGGGGCTCATTAATATCCTCATGCTAGGATTTCCTACTTAAATTAATTTATCAATGATAGATTTTATAGTTCATCCCCATTATCAGCTTGACTTTCACCTATTCGACTTAAGAAGATTGGTACACAACGAAACTGATCTTCAAAACGTTATTAAATGACATTTTTTCACACGTTCAATACTGAAACATCAATCTAGAAGTGTAATAGGTTATCTTTGTGATGTTCCACATTGTCTGGGGGGAGAAGTTGTTAAAACTTATATGTGTGGACAACTGGACACCCCTAAGTGTGTAGACGCATTTTAAGAATATCAAGAGGAAAGTGCAAAGCGGACAATATCTACACGATGTGGGCGGGTTGTGACAGAATGGTATCAAAGCCAATCCCCAGCCAAAAATGGTGGTGTACACAAGCTCATCAGGGAAGGGAACCTAGTGAAGACGCTGGGAAGAAGTTGTTGAGACATATATGTGTGGACACCCCCTAACTGTGTAGATGCGTTTCGAGAAAAATCGTGAGCATCGAGAGGCGAGTGTGCAAAGCGGACAATATGTATACGGCGCGGGCGGGTCGTGACAATCTTTGAGTGGTGTCCAAAATTTCTTGTCTTTTATTTCTCTTTTCGAGATTGAACTTAAATCAGTTTGCCTAGAAGGCCTTTGGTTTTCACCATCATGACTCATGCAGCATAATAGACTAATCCACTAGTTTGGGGGAACTAAAAGACCTTACCTCCTCAAGACCTCTCTTTTGAAAAATAAGAAGGCTGCAATCAACCTTTTACATATATCATATTTTCCACAAAAAAATTTAAAAATCAGTAATTTTAAAAATGTATGATTGGAAACTCAATTTAACAGACACATTAATCAAACATTCCTGCTCTGACAAAAGAATTATTACCCATCTCATGCAAACACAAATAAATAATGCCAATCATATCAAATATATTTTCTATTATTAAATGTTCACTAAATAAAAATGAAATGCATGTTTAATATCCAAGATAAGTCAGCTTTTAAGGCACCCAAACCCAACACTACATACCTAAAAGAAAAAAAAAATCTATACACTTGAAGGATAATATTAATTTTTATTATACCTTTAGGTTAGGGATTCAGAGCTAGATTTTCTGACATATGCAGACATGGTTATCATTTTCTCCTGAGTTGAATATGGAATTATAGAAATGTATTTCAACTTTCAAGTGCTTCCAGCAAGCACACAATTTCCTTCAAAATAAGTTATATCTGTGTTCTCAACATAAGCAAGCTGTTTTTTCAACTCTTGCAGCAATGAGAGAGAGCTTGATTCCAAATCAATATGTTACCTTTCTTGCAAGAAACAACTAAATCCTTTACCCTCTACCTCTTCAGTTGAAGAAGTAGATCCCTTCTCAATATAATTGACTTTAAAGAATTCCCATTTCCTCTGATAGATGAACTTTTACTACTTTTCAAACACGTGGAAGACATTCTAACATTTAATCACGTCATAATATAACTACATCATTCTAAAAACCAACAACACAAACCTTAAAGCCTACCTAAATTTTTTTTTTCTTGCAAGTAAAAATAGTTGTTTTCTTCAGCATGGACCTCCAACAATATATTTTCCTACAATTGTTGATCCAGCTATTTTAAATTACAATAACATAAACCGGAACAAAGCAATCAAGTCGAAACCACCATTCCTTATTTGAAAAATCTCTAACTAATCCACAAAATGAACTATCTAAAGTAATGCAGACGCACACAACACATAGTCACCCACCTATTCCTCCCATTTTTTAGCATCCATCTCCGTCTAATTCTTATAACAATTTATACTTTCTGTCAATCCATCTTCTCCACTAGAGCAAAAACAATTATCCTCAACTCTCACAGTTACACACAATTCATTTTGTATCATTCTCTAATAGAACCCTTATTCAAAAAACACGATCAGGCACTCTTAGCAGTAAGAATCCGAATCAAGTAAAACGTACAAAATCAAAGTAGTATATTCAGTCAAATATGCAAAGACAATGTGAACAAATAGATGCCCATTAATAAACTACTGAAGAAAACTGGCATATTTGTTTTGCTTTGTTTAACATTTGTACTTCGCCAAATTCTCCAACACAACACGTTTTTATTTAAAACCATTTTACAGAAAACAACAGTGCCAAACTAAGGCCTAATATAAATGTTCAAGTGTGCTTATCAAATATAAATATATAGTTGAAGAAGTGATAGTTAATCTGTATAGGCGCGTAATGAGTTGGGTACTCACGGATGGGCTATGACTTTTGCAGCCCTAACGGAAAAGGGGCAAACGGCGAACTGAAGGACCTGGAACCTCTCGGCAGCGTACTTGGCCTTGAAGTAGGCGGTGTCGGCGGTGTCGAAGGGCAGTAGTCGTTGCCAAGCGGCGGAGTAGGAGCCGGTCTTTTGCATAGACACGGCCACAAAGTCGGAGTGAGTGATGTGGTTCTTGATCTGTTCGAGTGACTCTGTGAAATTGGATTTGGTTACTTGATTGATAGTCCATTGGTTGTGGTGGTGGTGGTGGTTGTTCTTGAGAACATTGCTGCTGAGGAAGCGTCTCTGCAATATTGGAGGCCGAAGCACCATTGCTGCAATCGCCTCTAGGAGAGGGCACGAATAATGAGATAGCTAAGCCATTTTTCTCAATAAACGTAGGTATTTGGTTATGGCAGAAAATTAGAATTTCAATTAAAAAGACTTGGAAGTTAATGTTTTTTTTTTTTTTTTTTTTTTTTTTAATTTAATTTAATGTAATTTAATTTAATTATTATTATTACTACTATTATTATTATTATTATTTTTTTAGCATTACCGAGTGGGCTGGTGTGGTGTCCAACTCTCCCATGGATCCGAATCTGCTCCAATGCAGCTCTCACTAGAGCAGGTCCATTGAGAATATAAGGGTTGAGATTAAACCACCTCAATCTTTTTACCACATCATCATCTAATCACTTCCAACTTAGCGCCCACTCAGCAATTTAGTAAACAAAGTTACTAATGCTTTTTTTTTTTTTTTTTACCAGATATACTAATACAACAGCCAAATCGTAATTCAATTATACAACATACACTTACATTATATATATATAAATATATATACAAATCTTATATATAACAATATATCGGTGTTGTTCAATATCCAAATATATGTATAACAATATATATATATATATATTATATACAAATATACGTATAACAATATATTATATACAAAAATATTTTATTCCATTCCTTTTCAGTAAAATTACAAATCCCCATCTTATATACAAAAATATATCAGTTTCGTATCCAAATATACGTATAAAAATATATTATATACAAAGATATTTTATTTCATTCTTTTTCAGTAAAATTACAACAAAATATACGTATAACAATATATTATATACAAAGATATTTTATTCAATTCATTTTCAATAAAATTACAAATAGTAAACATTGATTATGTATCGGTACAGTTCAGTATCCAAATATAAATTTATTTGAGATTTTAAGATTTTGAAATAATTGACTGATTATATAGATTGTAAGGTTTTGAATTATGAAATTGAGTTGTGGAAATTAATTTTTTTAACGTGTTATGAAAATATGTTGATGCTATATGCACTTCATACATGATACATGTTTAAAAAGTTGTAATAATAATAATTTGATCTCTTCAACTTTTGTATTGAATGCTGTTACAAAAAGTAGGTAATGAAATATGTAAATCTTCATACATATATGTTGAAAGTATTTGTGATTTTTATTATTAATTTAGGAATTGTGAAATTGAGTTGTGAAAGTTATTTTTATTTATTATTATTTTTTTTAACGTGTTAAGAAAATATGTTGATACTATATACAATTCATATATGACACATGTTTAAAAAAGTTGTAATAATAATAATTTGATGTAGAAGTTGATTTTTTTTTTATGTGTTAGGAAAATATGTTGATATTATATGTAATTCATACATGATGCATGTAAAAAAAAAGTTGTGATAATAATAATTTGATCTCTCCAACTTTTATATTGTATGTTGATACAAAAAGTAGGTGATGAAATATGTAAATCTTCCTACATATATATTGAAAAAATTTGTGATTCTTATTATTAATTTAGAATTTGTAAAATTAAGTTATGGAAGATAATTTTTTTAATGTGTTAGGAAAATATGTTGATGTAATATGCAATTCATACATGATACATGTTTAAATAAGCTATGAGCATAATAATTGATCTGTATGCTGTTACAAAAATTAAATCACCACTAATATAAGATAAACTTTGATATATCATTATGAATAAAGTTACAAGAAATTCAAAATAACAACCTAATACTTATAATGATCGGAGCTTCAGCTTCTCGCCAGACTATCAGAAATATTTTGGGGGAATTTCTCATTTTCAGAAATTTTAGCTTATTACCAGAATATATGTTGATTTTTCTGACTAGATCTCCTTGTTTGCTATGCCTCTTCGACCTTCACCGATAGAGTTTTTATACATAAACATAAATAACAGAGTTTTGGGGAGAGTTTCTTTACCGAATTTCAAATTTCCGAAAGGAATTTCCTATTTGATATTTCAGGCATGGTATATATATAGTAGAGTTTTGAGGGAAGGTCACCTTTCCTTTTAGGGAGAAATTGAAAGTTGAAACTCAAATACGATTTTGAAAAGATGCAATAATGCGTGCATAAAGAAGATGTATAAATTACGCTGAACTGGATGATTGGAGCTTCAGCTTCTCGCCGGACTAAATTTTTTTTGGGGGAATCTCTCCTTCTCTGAGCTTCTTTGAACAGGGAGATCCTTTGCTTTCCAAAAAACGTCAGATTCCCCTTCAGAGCTCATTTTAACAGGGAGATCCTTTACTTTCCAGAAAGCGTCCTCATTTAGCTTCTTCTTCTCTAAAATCTTTATCTTTATGTCTTGGTTGCCTTGTTTCTCGGTTGCACTTGATCATGGAGATCAGTTTGGATGTGAGAAAGAGAGAGATATTTCAGAATCAGTATACATATGGCAGTTTTGGGGGCAAGCTCAATTTTCGTTTTAGGGGGAATTTCAAATTGAAACTGAAATGATGTATTATGTACAGAAAGGTAGAAGATACGGAGTATTATAAATAAGTATGTATATAAATGGTATAATAAAAACTACAGTACTTACCCATTTTATCACCTTTGCCACATCAGTCGAGGGACCCACCACTGGACACTTTCCTGTGAGATGCGAATGGGGAGGATTTTTCTCCCTCCCCCATATGCTATATTTGGTGTGAATTACAGAATCCCATGAATCATTGAGTCTTTGAACAATCATCCAGCCGAGAGCACGTGGGCGTTCTCACATTGCGTCGCCCCCTCACACTCCGTGGCCACAAGTCATGCTTGTGATGGGGGTGGACAATGGCACCACGTGCACTGCCCAGTTTGCGGTCGGCCCAAAAAAAGAGTCCCCGGTGACGAATGTTTTGGTCGTGTTCAACTCTTCTTCCCCTTTTTTTTAGGAGAAAAAAAAAATCTTAATAAATAAATAAATTGATTAACAACTACTAAAAAATTCCTTGTCACTTTAATCAAAATGCTTAAAACTTTCATCTTATCCAGAGATATAAATCCCTTGTCAGACTTTATTTTGGATGCAACTAGCATTGTTCTTCTCTTCATATGAAGCATACACTAAAACTCAACACTTTTTTCTTTTTTTTTTTTAACAGAAAGATAATTTTATTATGAAAAAACTTTTAGTGTTTTATATTCATGTTGCGGTCAGAAGTACTTAATTATTTTTGAGAATTAATATTAGAGGAAATTTAGTTTAAACTTAATGTAATGTAAAAAAGATGGCTGCAGTTGGGTGCTCCAATGCCACACCTGCCCCTTCCCCTAATGTGACTCCCAAAAGATATATATATATATATACACACACACGCATACATATTATTACTATGTAATTTTTAAAATTTTTATGAATGCCTCCCCTAAAATTTTCCATTGTTAATTTGTTACCCACTGTGGCTCTACAATGTGTCTCTGTATATATATTTACTTTAGTTTATATAATTTTTTAAGATTTTACAAAATTTCTTTTCTCTTTAACCTTTTTGTCTTTTCAAGTTTTTTAATCCCTTCAACAAAAAAAAATTGCATAACCCTAATTTTTCTCTTGAGAGTTCTTTCATTCTTCTTTTATTTTTATATTTTCTTCTTCTTTTATATTTTTGTCTCTTTCTAAAAGTTTATATTCCTGCACTCATATATGATATATGATATATATGCTCTCTGTTATTTTTATTTTTATTTTTTTATTTTTAAACATCACTGTAATTTTATAAACTTAGGCTTCATTTGTTTCGACATAAAATATTTTTTTTGGAAAATAATTTTTTTTCCCAAGTAAAATATTCTTTTATTTTTACTTTGTCGGTGTTTGGCAAATGTTTACGTCAAGCTTGAGGTCGAGTCCATCGAGCGGGGCATGTAAAATAACTTACTGAAAATTGATGGATAAGTTATTTTTGTTAAATTTTAATATTTTTTTTCTTCATAAAATATTTACGACAACCAAACACCAAAAAATAAAAAAATATTTTCTGAAAAATATTTTACGTCCAAACAAACGGAGCCTTAATGTTAATATTTTACCTTCTTGTTTTGCTGTTAATTGAAAAAAATTAAATTAATTTTTTTTTATTATGTTCCTGCCCTAAAGTAAATTCCTTGCTTTGTTTCTGTCTGGTGAAACTACATCATATTGAAACTTTTTAAAATAAATAAATGTGAAGAGAGAATAATTTTAGAAATAGGAGAGATTGAAATAAAGTAACACTTCTATTTCCTCAATTTTAAAGTCAAAAAGTAACTGTTAAGCCTTATATTATTTACAGTAATTAAGAGGTTTTTGGCTTAGTTTTGGTGGGGGAGGGAGTATGGAGAAACAATCAATCCTTGGAACAAGCAAATTCAAATAAAAGGGAGGTCTTGGCTTTTGGGACATGTAGGCTTTTAATTTGAAATTTTTTTTTTTTAGTTAAAGCTTTTAATTTAAAATTACTAGCTAATAAAACATGGATTTTTCAGAGAGGATTTAATTTTTTATCATTTTCAAGAGCAAATTACTACCAGATTGTGATTTTTTGAAAGCTAGGAGTGCAAATTCATCTTGGGCTAGGCAAAGTTTTATGGGAGCCAAGAAAGTGGTGGAAAAGGGGTTGGTATGGAGGTTAGAAAATTGTCACGCTCCAAAAAAAAAAAAAAAAAAAAAAAAAAAAAAAAAAAAAAAAAAAATGAGAACTCTGCATGACACGGGAGTAGTAGTTCTAGAGCCTTTCGAGAGTTGTGTAGAGAATTGTGAAGTGTAGATAGAGTTGAAAGATTGTACAATATTGCAGAGCTTTTATTTTCCAAGAGTTGTGTAGAGAATTGTGAACTGTAGATACAGTTGGAAGATTGTAGAGCTTTTAAATTTGTAAGAGTATAGGAGGTTTTAGGTAAGAGAAAGCTTGGAGAAGTTAATAGACAGCTTTGTAAAGGGGTTATATATATATATATTGTTTTGGAAGGTTAAGCAAACTCACATGTGTATGCTTTAATTAAGACTCGAATCCCTAACCTTTCCTTTAAGAATTTGTAAATATTTAAATAGAATGTTCCAGAGAGTAGATTTCAGTCATAGATTACAACGCATCACAGTGATCAACATGAATCCTAGCCATCTAGTAAATGGGAGACATCAACATGCATCCTAGCCATCTAGTAAATGGGAGATGTGTATAAATAGATGCCCAGTGAAAGGAACATTGTCAATCACCCTAGGGGATGAAATTGTGAAATAGTGTATGCTCAACGCAATGCTAGATCACATTGGAAAATGATACGGGCTTCGTACAAGGAAGTGATAGCATACCACTATTGCGTTTATAATTTGTTATTTAGCTTGTTGATAAAAAATAAAAAGGTAAATGCTAAAATACTAAGCAAAATCCTCTCTGAATTAAAAAATGCAATTCATAGTAGTAATGTCGTGTATAAGTAAAAATATGTTTACCAAAATATGCTAAGTGTTCCTCATTCTCATTTGCGTAAAGTGCAACCTCCACACCTTTTCAAGTCATTCATACGCATCTTTATTAACATTTTTTTATGATCCGCATGTCATATTCGAATGTGATATTTAAATGTTTTTAACTAAATTTAAATATTACATGCAAATAATAAAAAAAATTGAAACTTATTTTGAAACTTGGAACTTCCTAATATATGTTGGCAGCCGCAATTTGTTGATTTAATATAACCTAAAAGTGAGAATATGATGGAGTAGTAATCTTTCTAATACATTTTCATATAGTATTAAGTTCTGAAAAAAAAATAAATAAATAAATAAATTGATCGTATTAAGTTTACCATGGTTGCAGCACCCTAACAAAGAATGACATTTGGATGAGAGAATTGAATTGTTGTGGACGAGTCCAATATTAAATTTAGGATGGTTGCACTACCCTGACAAAGAATGCCACCTGAATGAGAGAATTGAATCATTGTGTAGTCCAATATTAAATTTAAAATGGTTCGCGTACCCTGACAAAGAATGTTACCTGAATTAGAGAATTGAATCATTGTGTTCGAGTTCAATATTAAATTAGATTGGTTAGTACGAGTTTGATAGTAAATAGTTGATTATTGATTTGAGTTTACATTTATAATAATAAATTATGAATAAATTAAGTTTTTCTTTCAAGGAGGACGAATGAAAGCTGTTCATGTGAATAGTGAGATGGTAGGAGTGCAATGCGTGACGTTCAGAACTAGCAAAGTAAGAAATAATATTTTAAATAATCTTGGAAGTTTTAGGGCATGCTTGGTTTGTAATTATGGAAACATTTTTCTGTTCTTGAAAACTGTACAAAAAACACTGTCTGGTTCAGTTTTTTAAAAATTATTTTCTAAAAACTTAGTTATAAAATGCATGTTTTCATATAACAGTCTTTTAAAAATATTTGCAAGTCCTCAATGCAACAAACACCACAAGCAAAGCACGCACACTGAGTGCGGAAACCCGAGATTAGAACAATGAGATGAGAGGGTGTTTGTGACCAGGAACTCGAGTCACGTATTGTTACTCTGTGCATGCCTTCTGGAGGATGCAGCGGCCAGAGCATTTCCCAGGCGAGTATGCTCGTGCCAGTGCAAGAATAGTCTGCCATTGCCACGATCACTAGGCCTTAAAGAGGTCACCTCTGTAAGTTTTTTCTTTAAGGGGTGCAACACGGAGACTTTCCCCCTTGACTGCGGAGTTCTGATGGAATTTAGTCCATTAGTGCTGGTATGATTGCACCCATTGTTATCTGTATTTCCCTCTTTTTTTCTCTATTTTATCTCTTTTAATAAAATCTAAATTTAGCAACAACAAAATAAATAAATAAAAAGGGTTAAAATGTTATCATGAGATTACTCCATCATACTTTGTATCTTAAAACAACCTGTATCATACTTTATATCTTATAGCAACCAAATCAAACAATGGATCACCCACACCACGCTCTATGGCAGAAGCAAAAACCAATGGATGTTATTATATCCTCTGTTTAATTCAATATTATATGAGAATTGCTATATCAAGGTCATTCCCTCATCAATGTCCAAGTATACATTAGCTGCTGCTTTTTTCACATTCATCAGTCGTCAGATACAAGTAAAAATAAAAAATAAATTACCATGCTTCTATCTCTCTTTCTAAGTAGCCATTGAAATTCTTTCATATTTTCTTCCCTGCCAACCAACGGCTATAAAAGTCCAATGCTTCACGTGGTTTGTATTCTGGGACGGTATGTCCAGAACCCTGGCACCAAAGACACAAAATAAAATGCAAAAATCAATGTCGAGAAAGGGGAAAAAGGAGAGGCTGCATCCGCAGTCCTCTTTGTCACATGTGGAATCCACATATGTGAGGAGCTGTGAAATACAGCCTCCAAATAAATGAATAATTACAATATTTGTTATAAATGTGGTTAATTTATTCGAGAAAAAATTGACAAGGTAAGTGTACAGACCTTTACAGTGAGAAAGGTGAGATTGTTATCATATCCTTGTAGGTACCTGAAGCCAAATAAGATATAGTTAGTGGGTGTCTTTGCACGATAATGAACTTTTCATGGACCATCATTTTGTTGAGGACTGTAAAAGACAGGAAGATATACATTGGCTTGTTTGGAAAGTTCAAAAAATGTTCCTATTCCAAATAATGTTTTTCCTGATTAAACAATAAAATTTCTGGAATATTAACGCTTCTTCATGATTAACAAGAACAAGTTCCGTAGTAGTAGTCTAGTAACATACCCAGCAACTTGTCCATTGGAAGTCCAAGGCCTCCATTCGTCCACAATTTTGTATCCCATTGATCGTGTCCATGCTTCACTCCCGGTGTATGGAACACACATATCATGGTCCCCACTGCAAAAAAAGTAAAATCGTATGAAATTAACATACATAAAATGATCAAAGATAATCTAAGCCACATAAAGGAGTGCGCACCACTAGTTGTAACTTATAAGTAACATACCATATATTTATGTTCGTTTATATTTCTACATTATTTAAGTACCAATTAGGTTTTTTGAGAATGTCTCGGTGTAATCAGGGATGGGAGAATATATATAATATGAATACAACCTCAATTTGGGAGTCTTTTTACTGTCTATTTTCGTGTTTTATTCATGTAATGAGCTATTTATGGGGCAGAAAGGCTGAATCCACGTCACCTCATGTGTGGCATTAGAGAAGACGGAAGATTTAGTCTTTTTGGCAGAAGAAATTACAACTTCCTTTCCTACTTCTATGAGGGAAGTTCCATAAGTCGGACACCGCTGCCATGGAATACATGATTGAACCCACAGCAAATCATGCAGTCACAGCTGCAACTCAAAGTACCAACCTTCTATGTTCCAGCTCCAGAAATTTTATATGCTCACATTCCCTTTCTTATTGACGCATCAACATTGCAAGCAATGGTCTATGGGAATTATTTCCGTGTTTATGGTTTCATTTTTTGAGTCAAGGCCGTTTCTTTCTCCTGTCAGGTAAAGCACTAACATGCTATTGGACAGGAATTGCTTCATTATGCCCACAAGAACAAAATATTGAAATATTGTAAAGCACCTTACATCTGTTGTGCATGATTTAGGCCCATAAAGGCTCCAGGATAGAGCTGTGAATCTATTACTTCCTGTTTGAAAACCATAGAACTGATTTTAAAGCTGAAATACACACATTTCTTGCTTATAAATTAAATAGGGTATATTACACCGACACCCCTTGACGTTAGGTCATATTTCAGCTAGATGAAAATTTTGGTTTTAACTTTCACTTACACCCCAATCATGCGAATTGACTCTTTTACCCTCAATTTTTTAATACAAAAAATATACAATCTTAAATGACAAAACACACCCTATCCCTACCCCACACCACCACTGCCACCATCCTCCCAACCATAACCACTACCATTCCCAACTCCACATCCACCACTACATACCCTCTTCGGTACCCCAAGCAGTCATGTCTTCTTGCTGGCTCTTTCTTTTTCTTCAAGTTCCAAGAATCCAAGTAGCTCTGAAGCTGTAAATGTGGACAAGCTCTCCCAATCATTCTAGTCGATCGACACCTCATCCCTTCACTTCTTCAGTTCAGCCCGTTCCAGCCCTTGCCCAAGAAGATCAATGTCAGAGGGTTTAATGGAAGCATTAGTCAATTACTGTCGCAACTGAAACTTCAACATCCGCCAGGGCATCACAGATTGAACCCATTATTTTCGAATGTAAGCAGTCATCTTTATCATCTATATTATGCGGAGGCAGCTACGAACAGGTTTGTCAAGTAAAAGCTCGAGTTTTGGAAGACAATCACCCCATTACACTAGTAAAGGGCAAGTCAGCATCTTGACTGGATTGGGGAGCAGAGGTGGGAGCATAGATTACAGGCTTATAGCCACGACGGCATTGTAATCGGCGGCAAAAATCCGCGTCTCATGCTCGTCGGCGCCAAAACCCTCGACCGTGACTTTCTGGCGTACGCTAGCCTCGACGGCTTCGTAATCGGCGGCGAAAATCCGCGTCTCGTGATCCTAGTGAAGCCCCAAGTAGCGAAACCCAGTTCATCTCCGGCGACGAATAACAGAACAGAACTGACCCAGTTCCGGCAAGCTCCTAGTGTCGGTGAAACCAAACTCAATTCCGGCAAGCTCCAAGTAGCAAAACCCAATTCATATCGGCGTGTTCCCAAGTGACGACAAAGCAACGGCAAGCTCCAAGTGTCGGCTTCTAGTCAGAGCAATCAGTGATGACAGCGTCGGAGCTTCGTTTTGGGTATTGGGTTCTCTGTGGTGGAAGCTATGTTGTGACGGGGACGAAGGTGAAGGCTTGGTGGTGGTGGTGAGTGGTGTCAATTTGTTTTTCGGAAGGTAATTATTTAGTTTGATTTGGTGGTGGTTGTGGGGGGTGATGATGGATGTGGGTGTGGGTGGTGGAGCTGTGATACGGCTGGCCGGCGACGGCGGTATATGGTGGGGGTGATTGGTGGTGGTGATATATATGTGTGTGTGTGTGTGTGTGTGTGTGTGTTTGTGTTGTGATTTAGTGGGAAAAACAGAGTGTCCATGGTGGAAAAAAAAACTTAATTTGAAGAAGGAAGAGAAGGATTGAGGAGAGAGAAAAATAAGACAAATTTGGCAATTTTAGACACGAAAGATCTTTGCCGCCCTTCTCAGCAATTGCCACCAAAACTCTTTTCTTGTCTGGGAAAAAATCAACAATCATGACAGAGAGGTAGAGAGAGAAAGTGGAAGAAGGTTCACGACAGAGAGGCGGCGAAGGTGGTGATTGTGATAAGGGTAGTTTGGTCATAAAAAAAGTCAATATGAGGTCAAAGGGTATTATAATCATTTAATACTTCAAAAGTACTCTGACTCGGTCAAAATTGATCTTTGGGGTGTAAGTGAAATGTTAAACCACTCATTCAAATATAAGTGAAATCTAAAACCAAAATGTTAATCTAAGTGAAATATGACCTAACCATAGGGGGTTTGAGTGTAATTTACCCAATTAAATATCATCATTCTAGTAATATACACTCCTTAAGATTTTAAGTCCTGTTTAGACAGGTTCTGTTTCCTTTTTTTTCCCTTTTGAGAAACCTCAACCTCAACTACCCTGCAACTTAAAATCAATAGTAACCCTATATATATATCAAATAGGGTGGATGTTATCTCAGGTCAAAGACAGTCTGATTTAGCTCTAGTTTGTTGTTTGTAGACGACGTGCACCAAATTAGGATCTCGTGATCAGAGTGAAAACTGAAAGAAATTACACAAGCAAGCAAACACAAATATATTATTTGCTTGGTTCAGCAAGTGCCTACATTCACGGAGGAGGAGAGGAGATCAAAATCCACCATTAGGAAATCAAAAGGTGTTTACGAGAGCACACAATTTAACCCCTTGCTCACAATCCTCTCGAAGACTCAAAACTCTTTACTTATTGATTTGAGTCTCAACCCATAACCTACTCTGAGTCTCAACCCAAAACCTACTTATTGATTAGACTCTCAACAAGTTTTAACTCATGTAGTCCCACTCTAGGTCCTTGTTAGAAAGAAATGCAATTCCTTAGAGTCGAAGTATATTTCTATTAAAACTTTCCTAAACAAAATACAACTCTAAAATAGAAACTTAACTGACAAAGAGATTTAAGACAGATCACATTCATACATGGACTCTTCTATTTCCCTTCAAATACATGTATTGACACAAAAACGGCATGGGTAATAGATCATATAGGATATGTGTCTGGCACATGAACCTAAATCAGACTCTCCAATCCTTTGCATGGCATGATTGAAAAAGGAAACACACAAATTTGGTAGAAGAGACGAGTTTCCTGTCTATCATATAAATGGAAAAGCTTTGATTTTACCTCAACCCGTTTATTTTAATTAAAAATGAAGTATACTACTAAAAAGTAACAAAAGTAAATGCATAGGATGTGTCTACCTATAGGTATCCAACTTTTAGACACATATTCCATATCCTAAGATTTGAGATTAAAAAAGGTCCCACAGTTAGAGAAACACCCGCACCCAATACATTTACCCGAGTCCGGGTAACACAGCATGGATGAAATCTCAGGCTAGGCAATTTGATAAGGAGATCAACTCCATGGCATCTGAGAGCAGACTGTTGTCTAAATCATATATATGAATTCTTCTTAGATTGATGTTATAATAGATATGTGATCGTTATGCTGAAATTGAATATATGATATGAAAGAATATTAATATATTAAACTTGTTGACTTTAAGAGATAATCAAACCAAGAGTAAAGTATAAGAAGATGAAGAAGAAGAAGAGAAGAAAGAGGAGGAGAGAAAAGAGAGAGAGAGATGGGGAAAAAGAGAAAGAATGAAAAAATACTTTCATCCTTCCACCACATTCTATTTATACTAACAAGTTTCAGAAATTACACATAAGAACCCAACAATACATAAGTAATAACAAATAAGCCCCTGACAACAAAACTATATATTCATAAGAAACATAAAGTTGGAGAGAGAGGTATCACTAGCAGGTTGCTAGATTCGCTAGTTTTTCTTAAGTGTGGTCACCGTTCACAATTGAAATAACTCTTTATTACTCATTTATTTATTTATTTTTGCATCTAGACTTTGACGAAATGGTTCTATATGGGCCTGAACTCTTCAATGAACTATAGAACGTATAGACCTAATGTAAAGAAATAGTTCATGCTCTCATTATGGAACAGAAAGTAGGCTCAAATATTTTTAATGAAGAACAAAGTTTTACAAATCTTAATAGATTCTCTACAGCACCAACTCCAGATGAAACTAAAGAGGAGCAGGCTAAAGGTGGAATATAGTTTGACTGGGGAATTTTAAGGATGAAAGCACCATTATAGGCATTATATAAAAGAAAGTGAAAAATATGCCAAGGGATCACACTTCCATCATAAACTAGATCAGTTTATACTAAAGACAGATTAAACCAAAAGGAATTTCGGAATCTTACAACCAAATCAAGCACCAACTTGTTTTGGGATTTTGAAATTGTTTCACTTCCCTATGAATCATTAAGGTTTACAACAAAATATATAATGACATAACACAAACAGTAGAGTAGTAAATAATGTTATAGATGCTGATCTACCTGTAGATGAGTGCCCGATATCCTTTGGACGTGAGGTTCCTGTGATACTTGATCATGCTTCCAGCATCATGATGAAATAAAATTCTGTCCGTACATAAATCCCAACTGCCCGATACGTTTACCTAATGTATCATAGGGATGGTAAAATCAGTGTCCTTAAAGCTTGTAGAAACTGAAGTGCTGAAATCTTACCTGTTCAGCATGAATTGCTTTCCGGACTGCTTCATTGTTCAGCCATGTAGTTGCAACTTCATCATCCTGCATGTTGAAATTTGAACACCAATCATAAGAATGCTAGTCACTGATCCCCATAAAGTGGCCAAGCATCACTGGCCAGATAAAAACAAAGATAGGGGAAAAATACTATAAATAAATAAAGAAAAGAAAAAAGAAAAAGAAGAATATAGCCACCCACATAACAAGAGTCACAAGGATGCCGTGTCAAGGCAATGAAACCAGAGAACATGCGTACGCAGTGTTTCAACAGCTAAAAGATCCATTTTTGTACTGAGAGACTGACCAGAAATTAATTACTGGATTGCCATGAAAGTAGACCAATGCTGAAGAAGAATGCATTTTTGTTCAAATCACATAACAAAGTCATATGCAACAACTTTTTTGGCATTTTTCCTGCCCTTGTGGAGTGTTCTAGTCACACCAAATGTTCACATCACTTGGTTCTATCAATGAGTGATATTAGACAGCACATTTTCTAATTCCAATTATACATCTAATCACCATCCCATCTGGATCTAATCAACCGAGCTACACTAAATATAATGACATATTTCATGATTGCTCAACATTGTGTTCCATATTTTAAAATTCAATATGGCTGACATTAGGCTCATTGCTCATATATCCATACTCAGTTTGATTATGGTGCATGATTAGACATCGCCCCAAAAGAATCTTTGTTTATAGTTTCTCATAAGTTTATTTGAGATTAAAAAAAATAAAATAAAATTATGTCTAGAGAAGCTAGGTATTCCTAGTGAAGCTAAAGATAAATGTTCAACGAAGATGAAAATAGGAAATATGCCAATTTTTTTAGATGAATGAAATAGCTCAAATGATTTTGGTGGCAAACGCTGCACTGATAACATTAATTTATTTTTAGTAAGGAATGCTGGCAATGTGGACATACACCTTCAAGCAAATTAAGTTACCGGAAATCACCTGAAACAAGTTTGAGAAGGATAGGAAGTTGAGTAACTTACAGTGCATGGAACACTGTCACTGTTGAGAATCTGTGGCCAAGTTGGGACAATTCCATCTTTTACGGAAGCTCTGAAAGGCCATGCACGACCAAACATTCTTGTTCGTACAGGAAGAGGTCTTTCAGTCTCGCCTAATTTCTTGAAACTGGATGGTAACCTCAGGTGAGAATTTGTAGTCGCTCCAGTTTCTGGGGCATGATAGCATGGTTCTAGAATGTTGTATATATTTAAAGCTTCAATATCCTGAGTTTAGTCAGAATATAAAAGTAAATAAATCGCTATCAGAAAACTCTTTTATGTAACAGTAAAAAAGTGTTATCTTACTCTGTCAACTTTCGCAATTGTGTTTTCGCAATTGGTACTGGTTGGATTATAATAATTTCCTTGACACTCGGTAGTAACTTCCTGCAGTATGTGTAGCATTAGCAGAGGTATGTTGTTGAGAAACAAGAGAAGCAAGAGAACAGTGGCAAGTCTTAGCCTCTGATTCAACATTAAAAATGAATCTGGTTGATTTTAAAATAAAGTCCCAAAATTTAAAAAATCCTGGAATTCAGAGTCTGCAACTAACAGTGAATATTAGTGCTACAGATGCTGAACAGGGGGGAAAAAAAGTTGCTGCAGAAGCTTCCTTTGGGAAACGGGAAGGGTTGGGTATGGGGTTGGCTACTCTGTTGTGAAGACTAGTTCACCCTTGAACTCCCTCCCAAACTAAAAACTAAAAGAAAAAATAAACAGAGGCACTTTGAAATCATTTTTAGTCTTTGCTTGTGGTTATGTTGGTTTCACTGAATTATTCTTGGACTAAGAATTAACATTGAACTAGCAAATAAAAAGCTGATCTCAAGTATATGTAAAGGCACCCGAATGCAGCTAAATAAAGAAAATAAGTACCCCACAGCTATGGTGTTACAACTACACTAAGCAATAGCCCCACCTTCAATAAAAATAATATAGAGAGAGAAGAAAAGATTGAAATAGGTGGAAGCCTCAGATGCAGTTAAAATTGGAATGGCCTTAAATGGAACAAAATATCAAAATTGATAAACTAGGAATTGTAACGTGACTTCAGAGCAGTACTTTCACCGATACACCGAAGGCCTAATAGTGAGATAGATCAATCAGCACAAATATACCCTTGATCAAAATGAGAAGCTCTACTCACCTCATATAGCTCATCTGGGATGAGGCCCATTCCATGCACGAACGGAATAAGTGCATTGCCGTCGATCACCTCATCTGTAACTCCATTGCCCACCATGTAACCCTGTATTCCATTTACTTAATTTGCAGCCAAAACCTTTTAGTTTTAGAAAGAGAAATCCTATAAAAGACATACCTTCAAGTTGAGAACGGGTTTCACACCAGCATCAATTCCTGCAGAAGATCCAATAGATCTTAGATTCTTATCCCAACACAGATGCAGTTCAGAAATCAGATGATATACCTTTCGCTACTTCAGAAGCCAGTGTCGGCACATATATTCCAGCGTATGACTCTCCGGTAATAAAAAATGGATTGGAAAGGAACTCCGGGTATAGCTCGAACCACTAATTATATAACAACAGTTTGTAGGAAAATGAAAACATTTTAGGATACGAGAATACAAATATACATATAACAGTGTGTAAACATATCTGTCATCTTTGATTCTTTTTTTTCTTTTTTTTCTTTTTATATTAAATGATACCTTGAGGAGAAATGTGTGCGAATCAGAAGCAGTCTTTAGGTCCCCAGTATCATAATCAGATTTATTTCCTGAATAAGAAAATCCAACACCAGCCGGAGAGTCCAAATATAAAATGTTGGAAACCTGAGAAGCAAATATCCATAAAGGAGCTGATTTCACACAATATGGGAAGATAATCATCGAAAAACAATTAAAATTATATCTCTCATATATGACATATAGTGCTATATTTGTATATATCTTATATGAGATTAAATTAATTTATAACCTTGGACCAGCTGTATGGATTGGGATGCAGCTGAGGCGGGCTTCCCTTTGGTTTTCCTGCTTCAAAATTGAAGGGTCCTGCAAAATATGATTGAAGATTCTTGTATAAATTAGTGGGAACGGGACAAAAAAAAAATCCTTCTCTCTTTTTCTTTTACTTTTTTATATGGTAACTGAGAAAAAATCCAACCTTACAAAAATTATGTGTTCTAACAAAAATGAAAGACAAAAAAATCTTGTCCAACAAAATCATTTATACCATTCCTAATTTCAAGAACACCAATAATTTCCGATTAAAGAAGGACCATAAAAACTAAACCCAAAACGGAACCACTTTATTCAATTTTGATTGACATAACTATTGAATCTACAAACTGGTGAATTTGAATAGAATCACCAAAATGATAATCTTGGTAGAAAAATGGAATAAAATCACATACTAATAATATATTAAATGACCAAGGAACACAAAATAAACTAGTTGCAAATTCGACGAAGAAATGTAGATAAATTTTTTGTTTTTTTTTTTGTTATGTGATTCCAAAATGTCCCTTAATGAAGTCCACTCACTCAAATTCACATCACTCCATGTTTGATCCTAATGATCCAACTAATCTCACTAGTACACAAAATCCAACAAAAGGCTTTAATCAAGGTTTTTAAAAATATATATAATAACAATAATAATAATAATAATATCCCAAAAAGAAAAAACATATGGGATTCACAAAATTGACAAAATTATCATTGAACTGTTCAGTGTATCCACCAGAGCCCAATGATTCATAATAAAACTTAAATTACACCAATCATTTTCACAATCTTGGAATATAAAGAACAAAGTTAAGAAGGTTGATCAAATATACCATGCTCATAGACGAACCCGTCGAAGCTCGAGCACCCCGGTCCACCATTGAGCCAGAGGACCACAGGGTCCTCTGATGGATTCCTTTCAGACAACACAAGGTAATAAAACAGTTTCTTCCCATGATTCTCATCTATGGTCACATACCTATAACCAACATATACAGAAATAAAATAAAACACATAAATAAAAAGAAAAACCACAAAATTTCATATAGAATTAGTTTAGAAAAATCAAAATTGGCAACATATAAGTGGGAATTAAGAGAGATATTAAAACAGTTTCTTCCCATGATTCTCATCTATGGTTCACATACCTATAACCAACACACACAGAAATAAAATAAAAAAAAAAAAACATAAATAAAAAGAAAAACCCACCAAAAAAACACATAGAATTAGTTTAGAAAAATCAAAATTGACAACATATAAGTGGGAACTAAGAGAGATAATAAAACAGTTTCTTCCCACGATTCTCATCTATGGTTCACATACCTATACCCAACATATACAGAAATAAAATAAAAAATCATAAATAAAAAGAAAAACCCACCAAAAAAACACATAGAATTAGTTTAGAAAAATCAAAATTGGCAACATATAAGTGAGAATTAAAAAAAAAAAAAAAAAAAAAATACACATAGAATTAGTTTAGGAAAATTCAAAATTGGCAACATATAAGTGGGAATTAAGAGAGATAATAAAACAGTTTCTTCCCATGATCTATAACCAACATATACAGAAATAAAATCAAAAAACATAAATAAAAAGAAAAACCAACCATAAAACACATAAAATTAGTTTAGAAAAATCAAAATTGGCAACATATAAGTGGGAATTAAAAGAGATATACAGACCCAGAATAGTGTTTGGAAAGAAAAGTTCCATCGAAGCCAGGAATCTGTGTGACGAGTGCACTTTCAGGAGCAGATTGTGTTAACACAAAGGTGAATAAAATGTAAGTGAGTATGATTATGTGGATTGAATTACCAATCTTGGCCATGGTCAAAGGTTTCAGATTTTTCCTGAATCTTATGGAACTGTTAGAGAGAGAGACAGGAGGAGGCCTTTTTATAGTAATGGTACCACATGAGTGTTTTGGCGTGGGGCTAATTATTGAGTGGCAACCAATTTGACGTGTTGTCTTCCAAGGTAAGAGAGAGAGAACAAAGAGCTCCAATAAGGGGAGAGCAATGTGCTCAACTGACCACAAAGCGGCATTTGAGGAACTAAAGCTGAAATGCTGACTGGAGCATGTTAAGGTGACAATGCTGGGCACCAAAAGATGTTTGACGGCCCAATTATGACATGATCCAAAAATGGAACCTTTTGAAACTCTTTTCCATTTTAAATTTTGATGGTTGTTCATGGAGGGAGGATAGAGAGAGGTCAATAAAAAATAAAAATTATTGACGAATTAAACTCGTAGGTACGAATTTTACCTTATTGGCTTTGTTCGTCGTTTAATTCGTGTTTATACTTTACTACGATAATTTAATTATCTACCGTATTTTGTTTGACACAACCCATTCTCTTTTACACCATCAAAATAATACTATCTCAAGTATTGTAACTCTAACTATGTGGAGGTATTTCAAGAGTCAAATCATATTTAAATTATCCCAAGAGGTTTCAAGCAGTTACATTTTGTTTTTATTTTAGGCAACATAATTGATTATTTGAATTATAATTTTTTCATTAATTTTGTGATGAATTGATCATGTTATGGACCTATGATTATTAATTAATTGTATTTAAATAGTTTATTTCTTTTATTGTGATAGTATTAATTGGAATATATTTATTTTATTATTTGTTACATATTCTTTATTGTTCTTACAAATATATGATATATAAGAAAATAATAAGTTGTGTATAGGCGAATTTTTTGTCTCGAATTTTTAGTGCATATAACGTATTATACACATACGTATTTGTCTTCATATTTTTACGTTTCCCTTTTTAAAAAATATCAAATTATAGTTTTCGTAACCATATTTTTTTTGTATCATATTTTACTAACTATGGTGGTGATGGGTACAGAGAGGGGATTTTGGACCAAAATAATATATTTATTATTGTATTTGATAATTAATTTTGTTTATTGACTCTTTCACTCACATATTATTTAAATATTGTGGTATTTATAATATACTACGTAACAAATATAACTTGTTATTTATTAAATAATTCCCAAATCAAATTGAAAAGTAGTTAACAATGATTCATTAACCAAACGGTATAAAAAGTTTATCAAATATTATATCTTTTCATTTTTATACTAAGAAATATATATATATATATATATATTGTTTTTACTTGATACAGAATATTAAACTGATAAAGAAGTTGAACCCAAAGGATAAGATAAACTTCAAGGTTGTTGAAATTAACTATATCCTCCAAGATGGAGAAGGTAATGGAATGGAAATCAAAGTTGGACACTACTTTGAAGAACTAATCATTTCTTGATTTTGTACTTTACAGTGTTTCATTAGTAGTGCTTATTAGAGGATTAGAGATTTGTTAGTGGAAGCAACTTTTTCAAAATAAAAAGTCATCTGATTATTTACCATCTTATTACAAACTAACAGTTTCAATTTCAAAATACGAAAGTTTTAATTTTTCTTCAATTTTGTTTCAAGAAATCAATTTTATACAACCAAATATATCATAAAATTATATTCACCATCTTCAAAAAATAACAAAATTATTGCATAAATTTTATGAAATTGATAAGTGAACTTTGAAAGCGTACAAGACAATTTTGAAGTAAAAAAAAAAAAATACTCTCTTTGTCCCGAAATTCTTGAGTGTTTTGGGAATTCAATTTTTTTAGATTTTTAATATTTTTGTATTGTATTGATAAGAGTAAATTCTCAAATTTATTCTTGCTAAAAACAAAAACAGTATTTTGAAATTAGTGTACTTGTTTAATACTATATCTGTCCCAAAACGAAAGTCTCTTTTTGAATATTTGTGAGTTAAACTTCTCCAAAAGAGACATTTATTTTGGAACAAAGGAAGTAGTACGTATTAAAGTAAATGTCAAAAAGGTAGTTTAGGAATGTTATAAAAAATAAGTCCAATCTAAACCAGTCCTATCTATTTTTTTTTTAGGTAAAATATATATATATATATATATATATATATATATATATATATATATATTATTTTTCAATATTTATCAAATATTTAGGTCGAGTCCATCCGGTAAAGTGTATAAAATTTGTGAATAAATTATTTTTCTTAGGTTTTAATTTTTTTTCCGTATATATGTTACAACAATAAACACCCAAACATAAAAATATATATATATATATTTTTTAAAAAATATTTTACATCCAAACAAACTATGGTGAGAATTTTTTTTTTTTTTGGTAAAGTACAGTCACGCCCCCTGAGGTTTGGCAAAAGGACACTCAGAATAAACTTACATGTTTTTTGGATAGAGACACCCTCTGAAGGTTCAAAAATGGACAAAGACACCCTTTTACATGAAAAATTGACTAAATTACCCTTTTACCGTTTATGAGACTTTTTTAATTATACAATTTAATAAATTGGACCAGTCTACCCTCATAAATAATTTATGCATAAAAAAAAGTAAAAAAAAGACTTTATATTGTTCACTTTTTTTTTTTTAAACTTTATAAATGTCCCATCTTCTTAAAAATGTAGACGTCTAAAATGATTTTTTGATTCAATATATATATTTCAAATAAATTATATTTTGTTATTACTTCTTTTCTTTTTCTTTTTTATTTTTAAATTTAAATGCTTAATTCTTTCATCTAAAAAAATTAAACCAATCTATTTTCCTTAAAAATAAAAAAATATAGTACCAGTATAATTTTATGCATCTTAAATTATATATCAAATATTATGCATTTCCCAACATAAAAGAAAATAGGTACTAATATAACTTTATGCATCTTAACTTTATGCATGCCTTTATTTTTTTTTTTTCCCCTTTTGTTTTGTTATTATTTTTTCCCTTTGTTTTATTATTATTTTTTTTCCCTTTTATGTTGGGAAATGCATAATATTTGATATATAATTTAAGTTGCATAAAGTTATACTAGTACCATATTTTTTATTTTTAAGGAAAAGAGATTAGTTTAATTTTTTTTAGCTGAAAGAATTAAACATCTTAATTTAAAAATAAAAAAGAAAAAGAAAAGAAGTAATAACAAAATATAATTTATTTGAAATATACGTATTGGATCAAAAAATCATTTTAGACGTCTACATTTTTAAGAAGTTGGGACATTTATAAAGTAAATTAAAAAAAAAAAAAAAGTGAACAATATAAAGTTTTTTTTTTGTTGCTTTTTTTTTTTTAATGCATAAATTGTTCATGAGGGTAGATTGGTCCAATTTATTAAATTGTAAAGTTAAAAAAGTCTCCTAAATGGTCAAAGGGTAATTTGGTCAATTTTTCATGTAAAGGGGTGTCTTTGTCTATTTTTGAACCTTCAGGGGGTGTCTTTGTTCAAAAAACAGCTAAGTTTCATCTGAGTGTTCTTTTGTCAAACCTCAGATGATGTGATTGTACTTTATCTTCTTATTTTTTTTTTGACAAGTTGAAGTTTGACAGGTGGCATATTCTGACTGGAGGTTGGTGATAATTTGGTGACAGGGTGTTAGGTATCTCTGAAGAGTTTGGCTATTTTATGGTGCAAGTTTGAACAGGTGAGTGACCCCATTTGGCTATTTTATGGTGCAAGTTTGAACAGGTGAGTGACGCCAATCAACCGTTCAGTTACCTTGACGTAAAGGAGAAATTATATATATATATATATATAGAGAGAGAGAGAGAGAGAGAGAGAGAGAGAGAGAGAGACCTGCATCAGAGTCGGTTATAGGAAAGTTGAAACGTGAGGTCATGAACCGAAACTTGAAACAAACTAAAGTATACGAGGAAGAGCTAAGGTTTGAATGTTTGATGTCGAGTCACAAGTCCTACTTTTATTTCTTTGAAAGATAAATAAATTTATTTTATACTTTTAAAATTTATATATTGTCCAAGTGATGTTAATTAAAGATTAATCGGAGCGAATTAAGTTTGATACTTAATTCAATTCGTTTTAACGAATTAGATAAATCTTAATCTGTCTATTATTATTTTTTATAATTAATATTATTAATTTTTTTTAATCTTTTAACCATAACTCAATAAATAAAATATTAATTTATTAATATTAATTTATATATTTAAATAATTATTAATTACAGAGTCCATTAAATTATCATTAACTAATTAAATTAATTAATATATTATTTGAAAATATATATATATATATTTTACGGATTGAATTGGATTGGATTTTTAACAGACCAATTCATAAGCCGATCCGTAAATTACGGATTCAATTTTTTTGAATCCGCCACCAATTCGCAGGTGTAACAATCCGATCCGATTCGTGCATCGGATTAGATTCGCGGAGTATTTGCCCACCCCTTGTCAGAAGGGAATAAATTATTACTCCTACACATACCTACTTTACTCATTTGAAGATTCCAACCTTCACTATCCATTTTAAAAGGCAAAAAAAAACACCACTGAACCACAAGACACTCAGTAATTATTGCTCATACATGATTCATATTATACATTTGCTTAAAAAATAAAAAATTGTATTGTACGTCCAATTTTAGAATTCCTTTATTATCAAGTGACGTACAAATAGAACACAAACCAAAATAAACACTGAAAAATACTCGCATTCATTAAATTCATTTAAGTGTAACTCAAGTGAGTCCCACTTTAATACATTCAGTAGTTAAAAAAATATTTATTACGGATTAAATTGTTGTAGATAGATGAATCTATTGTACATTCAATTTTAGAATTCCTATGTTGTCGAGTGATATACAAATAAAATACAGACCAAAATAGGTGGTGGAAAGTCTCCTATAGATTGAAATCATTCAAATGTGACCACCTGAGTCCCACTTCACTATATGCAATAACAAAACAGATATTTATTAAATTGTTATGATAGAATTATTGTACATCCAATTTTAGAATTCTTATATTACCAAGTGATGTATAAATAGAATATAGCTGAAACGGGCGAGTACTTATTTATTTATTCAAAAGTTTAAGCGTATCGGATTATAGATCCGATGTGGAACAAGCTCCCCCTTATAACATTCTTCATTATCT